GTACGATGTGTGTGACCAACTATCCTTATTTTTTAATTGTGACCCTGATCCTAGAATAGCCACGCTTGTGTGGAATGGGTCTATGATGTGAAATAAATAAATAAATAAATAATAATAAATACCTCGGCGGGGCGACTTGCCCCGGTCTACCCTAGATAGCTTGGGAAAACAATGCCTTACCTATATGGTAACCTTGATCCTTGGCAAGGCAAGCATTGTACGACCTACAAGATCTTAGTGCATTGCTTTTGAACAATTCAGCTAAACGTTGTATGCATCATGTGCACCCTCCCCGCCAACAAAGGTCACATGTTCCCGGCCGCCTCTGCCGCCGGGGCGCCGGCGCTGCCTTCCGCTGCAGTGCGGCTCCCGTGCGGTGCGGCCGGCGGGCGCGCCCTTGGACCAGTTTCTGGCACCGCGCTGCCGGCCCCGGGCGCCGGCAGAGGCAGCGTTATTCCGGGCGCGGCCGGTCGCCGGCGCGGCGCCCCATGCCCAAGTTAGCCGACGGCGGCGCTCGGCGCGGCGCGGGCAGGGACGGGTGGGGGTGGGGGGGGGGGAGGTGCTGATGGCAGGTGACGGGCCGACTGTCATGGCCATCTGTCACGGTCAGCTGACGGCCGGCCGGGCAGGGATGACACCTGGAGAATGGTGTCTCGCTGAGTCACCGTCTGCAAACACAAACGATCTGATGGTCAGACTTGGGTATACAGAATCGTTGCGGTTGTGCGAATATAGACTTTTTCTCCCTAAAACAGATGTCTCCTTATTACAAAGGCAATAATACTCCGCATCATTAGTTTTGTGATCCGTATTGACTACTTCAGAGGTAGATAGGTAGATTACGACCCGCATAGGACACGGTTGTAAACTTCCGCTTATGTTCCTGCAAGGAAAATACCTAATACCATATATACATGTAGTCTACGGTGCACCTGGTGCGCTCAGTCGTGTGATCATCGTCCTTTCAAACTAACTCCATTCCATTACTATAGAGTGCCCTTTATAGCCAGCAGTGTAGTGGAGCCCATTCATTTCCAAGAGTTTGCACGGATCCTAAATAAGAACATATCTTTTGTAAATACAGGGTGATCCAAAAAATTTGGAACCCCTAACTTAAAATGTCTATAAGTCCAAAAGTATTCATTTTATTGACAAATTGCAAACACCATTAGAAAGAGCATTAAATCCTCTATAAAATCATGTCAAGTTGGTGCATGTATGCTGTAAAGTATTGACACACTGTTAGGTTTCGGAATGAGCGTCAGAAAACTGAGTGAAACGAAATCGCCAATTGTTAACAATGCACTGAAATCCCTTAGCACTCCATCTGTTGTTTTTTACTAATACCGCATCCACATTCAATTTTAATGCATAAAAGTTTACGCAGAAGCACACAATAAAACAGATACACGCATCCTAGCTTCCGCTGTTCATCTCAGCATGTGCTCAAACCGAGTTCCGTGGGCTGTCACGCAGGCCTGTAGTCGCTTGCGGACGGCTCCAACTGCGCGGGCCAGCAGTCTCTGGGACAACTGGTCCCAGCAGGCCGTCAGCCTTTCCTTCAGCTCCTCGATGGTGCTGATCCACTTGACCTCTGTACACCATTCGCTCCAGTTCGCTCCACACGAATAAGTTAAAAGGGTTGAGGACAGGAATCTTCGGTGGCCAGGCCTTCATCTGGCTCGATGAAGGCCGAGCAGGCCTGTTCCTGAAACTCGACCACTGAGTGGGCCGTGTGGCACGGAGCACCGAATGACATTTTGTTTTTTGCTCCTGTTGAAATTAAATTCATTACAATAGCACGTGAATGAGCTATTTTTATTCATGAACCTCCGAGACATGCGACATGGTCAGAACAGCAAACCGCAAATCACTCATTTGCGGATAATGTTGAAAACCGTTTCACTGAGTTTCGTGACACAAATTTTATAGGCATATAACTACAACTAGGGTAATATTTATAGCAATAGTTAAGTTCAATTAACTTGGTTTTATAGAGAATTGAACGCTCTTTCTAATGATGTTTGCAATTTGTCAATAAAGTGAAAGCTTTCGGACTTACAGACATTTTAAGTTAGGGGTTCCAATTTTTTGGATCACCCTGTATATGCGGATTCCGGACGTTCTCAAATATTTAAGTCGCTACTCGTCGGGCGATGTAGCTTGAAAATACCAGAAACGTTGAATGGCACCAGAGGCCAGTTTTACCAACAGCAAAATGGCCCCTGCCGGAAGTTTTTGCCTAAAGACCGCTTCACATATAATACGGAGCGTAAAAGCACTGGGTACGTACGCAGATAGATAAGCCGTTTACGCTCCATAGGTGAAGCGGTTTTACCCATAAAAAAAAATCCGGCATGCGGCTATTTTTCTGTTGGTAAAACTGGTCTCAGGACGTCTTTTTTCGGTGCCAATTTGTTACCGTGTACCTAAATGACAGAGGAAGACAGCTTCTTTTTTTTTGCTGCTTAGGATCTTAGAGATATATATCGGTCGTCTATAGCATCTATCTGTCTCAGATTATACTGCTGTCCATATAGCAACGAGCGTGACCTGTATTTATTCACTCGGATGGTCTGGAATTTTTCGCAACAATTGGGCATGGCCGATGCTGAAGTGTCGCAGTTGGCATGCTCAATGACTCAATGATCGCCTTTCTGTTTCGTCAGGCACCGCTGGTGATCTGCGGTGTAAACATCAACGCCATCTATGAGCCAGCCCAGCTCCATCATTTGGTAAGTAACGGCTCTGTGACTTCTCCCTCCCTCCCTCCATTCTCTCTCTAGCTCTCTCTCTCTTTCTCCCTCTAACTCTGTCTTTCTTTCTTTCTTTCTTTCTTTCTTTCTTTCTTTCTTTCTTTCTTTCTTTCTTTCTTTCTTTCTTTCTTTCTTTCTTTCTTTCTTTCTTTCTTTCTTTCTTTCTTTCTTTCTTTCTTTCTTTCTTTCTTTCTTTGTTTCTTTGTTTCTTTCTTTCTTTCTTTCTTTGTTTCTTTCTTTTTTTCTTGCTATGTCTGTGTGTCTCTGTTTCGCTGTATGTCTGTCTGAAATGGGCTGATCAACTAGTCGCTGTAGGTATGCCTAATATTCGTATGTCCGTTTTTCTGTCTCGCCGTCTGCGTCAGCATCTACAGGTATGTCTGAAAAGGATGGTTAGCTAGTTGCTCACTGTATGAGCCCATACTCGTCTGTCCGGTGTACCTACTCGTATATCTTTCGTGCTCTGTGTCGAGAGTCGGAGCTTTCACTTGGACGAGCAACACCATGGCCGCACGGCCCTGGCCCCCCGCCCTCCGAGGTTGCTCAAATATTCAGTCCCTCCACGTTTGCATTGCGTGTCTCAAGCACATACCCTTAATGGGTACAACTTTATCTACATATATATCACGCCTATTTGAAACTCAAGCTGCCCCAGCTCTCACAGTCCGCGGAGAGAGGCCACGTACCAACGCGCAGGCCATCGACCGCCAGTCGGCAGGCCCCGAGTTAGGAAGGCGTAGGCCGGGATTGATGATCAGCGGCTGGGGAGATGAAAGGAGTCTGGATTTTATTGTCAGAATAACCGGGATTATCGCCAGTGTCCGTGCCTTCGATAGAGCTAGCAGACTTGCTTCACTACTGTAACCGTTGTGGTTCACAGATCGCGACCAGGCCATGCGGTACAGCATACTTTCAGGCGCCTACCACTAGTGCCATCTAGTGACCGTGGGCAGCACTACGATCTATTCGCGATTTTGTATGCTAAGATGATGTCCTGTTCCTTTCAGCTGCTATTCTCTCACATGCAGTCATTGCCAAATGATAGTTTGAATACCTACTATCAACGTTATCAAAATATTATTCGATGGCCATTTACAATGCCAAATAGATCAATGTCTTTAAACGTATTTCGCTTGCATTCAGACTCTTTGCCAAGTAAGGATTGCCACCAATTGCCAAATTAATGGCCCACTTTTCTGTTGTTGGTATAAAATGCGCCTTTATCTCAGCTTGTGGAAGGCTCAGTCGTAATACCCATTGGGGATTGAACCGGCTGAAACCAGTAGCGGCGGAACACCTTCAATTAAGGGGGGGGGGGGACACTGCCGACTTTTGGTCCCATTCTTTCCATGCAACGCCCATAGGGCTTATGTTAAAATGCCAAAATCAAAGGGGGGCACGGTGCCCCGGTGCCCTCCCCGTTCCGCCGCCTATGGCTGAAGCCCGTGTTAGAAGCCAGTGAAACGTCCCAAACCGCTGCATTGATTACATGCTTCATGTTTTGGAATCCAAAGAGCTATGAAAGTTAAAAGTAAGTGTGTTCGCAATATGTTTGCGGAATAATATAGGTATTTGCTTGTATTTGCATGATTGGGGCTTTAGATCGCATAAGGGTGCGTCGGTGTATTTGACGTAACTCGTCCAATAAAATGTACGTTTGGGTATAGTTACAACATTAAATCACTAAAGGATTAGTCCAATAATATGCAACTTGTTAAGGGGTCGGTGCAACTTGTCATAAGGAGAAAGAGACAGATGATCTGCCTAGAGTTTCCCTTGGTGGGTAACTAAACGCCTTGCGATATATTTTTCTGATGATCCCAAAAGAAGCCTAAATGAGCTTAAAGTTTTAAAATATCTCAATCGGAAATTTTCAAAAATCCCTCACGCATGCTTCGAAAAGATCCATGAGTGAAGCGCGACACCTTTGCACAATGCCCGCATCCTCCCCACCTTTGGGTCATGCTGCCTCCCACCGGCTTGAGCCCACAGCCCACAGACCCCATTTTTTTTCCACCGAACTGGGCCAAGGCTGCGAGTTGCCAAGGTCAGCCTGGTCCGGCAGCGGCTGCGATGGATCATTTGCCAGACTCTGGCCACCCGTCCGTGTCACCTGGAACTGCGGCGGCGACACGGCGTCCTTTTGGCACCGTCACTGACCCGTGACGTCACACAGGGGGCTGCCGACTGGCTCCGCCCCGCCGCTCTATTTTTACCGAGCGGCCTTTTTGTGGGCGGCCTGACATTCGCTCTGTGACCAGCTGCAGAGTCAGTCGGCCTCTCCTGGACCTTGCCGGGCCGCCTGCGGGCACCAGAGGTCAGTCGGCGACCTTGACACGTGCTGCGTGTGACCTTGACCAACGTCTGCTCTCCTGACTTGGGTCAACTGTACTGTGAACTCTGCTGTAGTGAGGAGAGGTGGCTACTCCATAATCAGAACGAGTGAGACGAAAGGTGTGCTTCATTGTACAAGTCCCTCTCAGGGACAAACAAAGGGAGGGTGTCGCGGACTGCTCCATGTTTGTGTTATTCTCTAAAGGAATGGCTTCTTTTTTTCGCAAGCTGTGTTGTTTCCGTAAATATTTTTGCTGTATCCCCAACTCATCGATGTTATATCAATGTTGACACTTGAAATCACTTTCTTAAAGTTTTTGCATGGATGTTTTTGTTTTGGTCGTCTGAAACTACTATGAAAAGGCAACCGTTAAATGGATTGCCTGTCGTTCTGCCTTTTCTCGTGGCTGAGCTCAGGAATCACTGAAAACTGCCAAGCCGACCAGACCTCTCCGTAATTGTTTTCGCTCTTCACTGTCGACAAAAACGACTTTCCGATCTCCTATGCCTCCCATTGTCGCCCCTTTTTTTCCTTGAAAGTGCAGCTCCCAGTTTGCGACTGGCAACTGCATAATTTTGCCTATACCGCTTACACTCATAAACGCAAAATTAAGTTTTAATCATCCATCATTTGTAGGTGTTCGGAAAATTCCAATCTTTAAAGGTAAAGCTGATAAACTAATAGTAGGTAATGCAGGTGAAATGAAGATACTCAAGTCAACTGTCTTTACAGTTTTCGTTATTCCTTATGTTATCCTTCATGTTAAAATGTCATCTTGAATTTGCGTTTATGCGTACCAAAGATACAGCTCGTTTACCTTTGACAAGGTTAACACTTCGTGAGAATACTCAGCGATGGTCGTCTTGGTTCTAAAAACTTAGAAGCGTAAAAGCTGTGACTGATTTCCTCTTTCCCATACATGCAACATTGCACGTTTAAATCGAGAAAGCCAGGCATTAAAATGGCACGTGCATTATACTGCACTTTTGAAACATACGAGAAGTCAATGCTGATTGGTTTCCGAGACATGCAGGAAAATATGTTTTCCTGCACCTTTCGACGTTTTCCTGCACCCCTCGACGTTTTCCTGCACCTCTCAAATGTATGACGTCATTATGAATGACATCACATCATAAAGTTGAAGGGCATCATTTTGCTCCTTATAACTTCATTTTATCTATCGTCCATTTTATTTGATTGGCTTATGATATACCTACCTACATTGTGTTTGATGCAAGGATTTTATTATTTGTCATGAATAAAGTGAAACATCACCATATAAAACTTAAACTTTGACGCTATTTTGCAACAAACCAAAGCCACGAAAGACTCAACAAGGTTGAAATTGGGGCGTTTAGGTTCCTCCAAAAAATTTGCAACGCTCCCATGCTACGCATGTATGGGAAATAGCTTCCTGCCCTGAGCTGGGAGAATTTAATGTTGTCACCTCGTATTTTAATCGAAAGTACCTCGGGCCTACCGGCCCTCGGTACTTTCAATTAAAAACTCGGTGACACCATTAAATTTTCCCAGCCCCGGGCAGGAATGTATTAACACACAAAGCCCGCACGGCCTTCTTTTCAAAAGTTCCTTTTGTCGAGAAACAACGGTTATTTGTAAAATTATCGCGTTTACTGCTGTGTCGCTTATGCTGGCATTTATTGCTATTTCAGAACATACTCGTACCCTAAAAGTCGATAAGCCCCGCACGATCATGCACATTGCATATTCTCTTTTGCTCGGCTATCTACTGTCCCCCCTCGACCAGACCTGAGCGGCTTCGACCGACCGGTGGCCTAGTTGGCTACAGACGAGGGCTTGGGGCAACGGTCGACGGCCCGACCGGGAGGCTTTCACCTGGTTTTGACGCTAAATATAGTGAGTGAAGACCGGGACTCGGCGAGGTGCGGGCCAATGTTTAGCAGCTCTGTTAGCCGAGTGTGGCTGCGGACGGTTTGCCGGAGAGAACGGTTTGTTTGTGACCACGTCGCGGCGCGCCACTGCAGGCCGGGACGGAACAGTAACCGGTCGGCGGCCAGCACAAATAATCGCCGTCCAGTCGACCTGACGGCGGCCAGCGAGCGGCGAAATTCCAGGCCTGGAGGGCCGCCAGTGGACGCTGGAGGCCGCGGCAGACTGGCACGGGGAGAGGGGAGCGCAGGCCAGGGCGTCGACAGCTGTGACAGACGGACAGACTGACAGACGGACTTGACAGACGAACAGTCGATATTGACTCTCGCATTGATTCAGACATCTTCATATGCTCTGAAAATGACCCCAATGATTTCACCGATAACTGTGTGGTACCTACTGACGCCGATCCCGACGTTGGATTTAGATGATGACTTTTCACGAAGGAAAAAGTAAAAGTGGGATGAAAAACAATATTTTTAAACATGGTTGCCTGCTTCGCTACTCATATGAAAGTTAAACCATGCGTATGATCACTTTGATGAAATAAAGGGCACGTATATATTTAATCCGCTTATCAAACTTGTCTGTTCAAAGAGATATTTCGCTATCCATTATTAAGCATTGATAGATAACAGGACACGCTGTTGTTCTGATTCGTAATTCGTATCCCAATGGTGCTGACGTGACTCGGTTCTGGTCTTAATCTGTCTGAAATATGTCACTGTCATGTGTCGCCCTGAATGTTGACACTGCAAACTGTCAGAGACGGTTGCAACAGCCGATGCTATTTTGGTGCCGCAATACGGCTAAAGGCGAAGGCGATTGCATAGGAAAACCAAGCGACTGTATCTTTTCTGTAAAAGGCTATTCCTATCTAACTACGATCTGTTTATGCAGCTTTATCGCCCGGCTGCGTATTTAAAGATATTCATTATGTAATCATGCAATGCTACAAAACCGCGCTAGACCATTGTTTTAAAGGTCTTGCATTGGCGCTTAACTCCTGACAATGCGACTTTTAAACGTTAACCTCTGATCTAATGCTGTGCTTTGTATGGCCGCAGCTGCAAACATGCGAAGACTTCAACGACAAGAATAAGATCTTTGCTCGGCTGATGGACATCATGCCCGGAGGACCAGGTAAACGGTGCTGTTGGATCTTCTCTGATGTAGCTCGGCTTGCATGCATTCCACCACTTGCGTTCCGCGTTAATCTTTAAGACCCATAGAGCGATTCGAATGGGCCACTTTGAGAGTCGTATTTTGTTCCCTCTCGCCTTTGTTCACCCGACGGCGCACAAAAGCATGTTTGAATCTCACCGAGCCCAGCTGTACGCTGATGTTTTAGCTGGTTTGTTGCCGTGAAGTTTTTAGATTCATCCTTGATATCACCTATTTACTCGGCCCAGGACAAAGCTTTCCCGATTTTAGGAGCGATCAAATTAAATAGCTGGAGCAAAAAAGTAAGAAAAAGACGGGCGTGAACTAGGTGGCCATTGTCCATCCCATTCTGTGCTACTCACCTGTTCACATCGAGGCTGTTTATTGTTTGGTGCTTTTGGGCCAATTGATTCTAAAAATCTCACTCGTTTTCTGCATTGAACGGTTCGGACCAGATCGCTCCTAAAACCGTTCGGGCTGCGTCCTGCGGCGTTCCGCCGGCGTCTGCCGGTAGAGGGCGGTGGGCGGATGCCACCGTCAGGTGGCGGGCCGAGCGAGCTGCTGACGCCGGCCGCCTCTGTTTCAGCCGACGATGCACTGTCGCCGGGCGCGCTGGAGCGGCTCGGCGGCTCGCTGCGTCGCCACCGGCGGCCGGCGCGGCGCGCCAGCGAGGGCGCCGTCTCCGACTCGGGCACCGAGAGCGGCGAGGACGGCGGCGAGCTCGGCGCGCTGCTGCAGGAGCTGCGCGGCTCCGACCGGCGCCGGCCGAGCCCGCAGCTGGTCTCCGAGGCCGTGGCCGTGCTGGACCGGCTGCGGCAGTCCCTCGGAGGGACTGGAGGCGAGGAGGAGGCTGCTGCCAGCGGATCGGAGGTGCTCCAGCTCGTGGACCGGCTGCAGAGCTCGCTGAAGCAGAAGGTGCCGCCAGTGCCGCCGCCCCGGCGCGGAGCGTCTCGGCGTGTGCGGCGCGCTCAAACGGTGGGCATCACCCGAGAGGAGCTGGCGGGGATTCGGCGCCGGCTGGCTGCCGCTCGCAAACCGACAGGGGTAGAGTCGGACACAGATAAACGGGTGACAGCCTCAGGACAGGCGGGGGCACCTGGTGGTGAGGGTAAGGGAGGGGAAGCGCCGGCGGCCTCACCGGCCGCGCCTAAACCGGCGTCCACTCTGTACACGGCCAGCGCCAAGCCGTTCTCGCGGCGGCTGTCCCAGGAGTACCAGCGGCGGCGGGTGGCGTCCCCGCAGCGGCTGCGGCACGGCCCGCCGCCACCGCCGTGGCTGGGCGCCCGCCGGGACCCGGCCTCCAGCTCCGTGCAGCGGGTGGTGGCCGCCGTGAACGCGTCCAACGCACGGCCGCCGAGCCCGCCGCCGCGGCGCAACGGCAGGCAGCCGAGGCCGCACACTATCGGAGCGAGCGAGGACGACTTCGCCGCCATCCGCGCTGCCATCGACTCCGAGCTGAAGCGAGAGGCGGGAGACTCGGAACAGGAGCGGACGGATGGAGAGGGTGCCACCGGCTCTGATCAGGAGGCAGACGCGCTCCCGGGCTCGACTCAGGGCCGGCCACCTGAGCAAAGGGAGCCAGAGCCCACAGCAGGACAACAGGAAGTGACCGCGACCCAGCACAGTGATGCAGATGACGCCCTCGTGCCACAACGTGCAATCATTCACGAGTCGCGCGGACAGTACGCTCAGTCGTCGTCCTCGCGGGTTCAGCGACAGGGAGACACTGGCGGACTGGTTCCCGAAGGGGCAGCTGAACATCGGGAGACCCAGCGATCACCGCGACTCGCCGGCTCCCCAGACCCCCGCGCCTCTCTGACATCTGCTTTGTCCAAGCAGATGACCAGAGAGTACCTGTCGGACGCGTCCCGCGTTTCCAGAGAGCAGGCTCTTGGTCAGTTGGGCCGGCCACCGGCCGGTGCCGAGCCGTCCGCCCCCGCTCCTCCCCAACAGACACCGTCAGCTCAGACTAGCGACCCTGTTTCAGAGTCGAGCGGCGCCACGGAGCCGGCACAGTACACCTGCAGCATCGTCACCCAGGAGACGCAGACGGCCGAGCTGCCGCCGCCGTCCCCGTCCGCCGACCAGCAGCCGGTGGCAGCCACGGCCGAGACGACCTCCCCGGCCGGTGACGGAGCGCCGTCCGAGGGTCGGAGGGACGCCGTGTCAGCGCCGCCGCCGCCGCTGGTGTCGCCCTCCTCACCCGTCGTCAGCCACCCTCCGTGGGCCCGCCAGGCCCGAGTGGTGGAGTCTGTGTCCCCCGAGGGCACCTCTCCGACGCCGTGCAGCCAGCCCATCTGGGCCCGCTCGGCTCGGCCGGCGTCCGCTGAACTGCCGTCTCCGTCTGCCGGCGGCGGCCACCTGCCCTGGACGCGCCACGTGCGGCCCTCGGCCCGCTCCTCCAGCGTCACACGACTGGCGAGCGCCTTCAACGCGGCCGACGCGCCGGGCCCGCTGCCCACGTCACCGTCGGCCGACCGGCGCACGCGGCTGGAGAAGACCCGCAGCATGTACGCTCCCAGTGGCAGCGTCGACGGGCCTCCACAACCATCCCGCCATGAGCCACCTCAACAGACGCGGAAGCTGTCTGTACCGGACGCGCTAGAGAAGCGACACGCCCTATCGCGATCCAAGAGTGCCGAACACATCTTCGGCAGGGAAAGGATGCCACTAAAGCAGACGCCGTTCCATAAATTTGAAAACATGGAGCGCCAGCGAGAGTCACAAATGGCAGCGCTTCAGGCGGAGCAACGTGCTCAGCAGGAGCACCAGCAGCAACTGCAACAACAGCAGAAGCAGCAGCAGTTACAGAAACAACAGCTTCAACAGCAACAGCAGCAACTGCAGCTACAGAAACAGCAAGAGCAGCAGCGACAGCTGCAAAAACAACAGCAATATCAACAGCAGCAAGAAATGCACAGACAGCAGCAGTTACATCAGCAACAGCAAGAATTTCAGCGGCAGCAGCAGCTACAGCAGATGAATCAACAGCAGCCACATCAGCAACTTCCGGGAACTGCAGTCATTCCTCACCAGCAACGAATTCCAGATAGAATTTACGTACAGAGTTCGCCAAACGATTCCCAGCAAAATCAGCCGATTCAATCGCATTACGCTCAGCCCACATACAGTCAGGGAGTGAGCGATCCTCATCACGGACACATCCAGCAGGGACCTCACCCACACATGGTTCCACCCGACCATCACGTTACAAAGCGTCCTCCCGTCAGTCCTCACCACCATCCCCATCCGGTGCATACCCAGCCCGTGGACGCGCCGCCTGTCCCAAACCTGCAGGCGGACGTCACCTACCACTACCGCCACCACAACATGAATCAGTCCCAGCCGCCACCGAACGGGCACACAAGCCACAGTCCTACAGATCACCAGGCCCAGTACTCTCAACCACTTCAGCAGCAGCAAGACCTGCAGCACCAGCCCAGTCCTCCGCACATTCACGGTCCTCAGTATGCACACGGTCCCGGTACTGCACAAGGCGCACCTCATCAACAAGGACCGTTCAACGCTCAACAACCACATTATCAGGATACTACTCACCAGGGTATACATCATTATGGGCCTCAGCAATGCCATCCTGCTCCTAGCCACGTTCAGTCCCCTCCGCATTACCATGCTCAGCAGTACCCGCAGCTGCAGCAGCAGCAGCAGCAGCAGGCAAATCTTCAGCATTCAGGGCCACACCACCCTCAGCCAAGCCAGTTTTATCCGGCCCCTCAGCAGCATCGGGCCCATATTCAAAGTCAAGGATTCCAGCAAAGTCAAGGTCCGTCTCAGCCTGTCACTCATTCTCAATTTGAGGGACAACCTCAGAATTTTCAGCAATACAAGGAGCATCCAAACGTTCAGGCCCACCGACTCCAGGAGGCTAATCATCCGAGCTTTACCGACCACCAGGCTTCCCAGCAGTCTTACAGCTCGCAGTATCCTCACAGTCCACAGCATCAACCCAGTCAACAGTACTTCCAAAACCCACAATACCCACACAATCCACAGTATCCACATAGTCCACAGAACGCTCTCAGTCCAAATCAGCAGCATCCCGCCCACCAGCAGCTCAACACGTACCAGCAGCACCAGCAACAGCCCTTTCAGCCAGTTCAGCATCAGCCGCCGGTCTCCCAGCACATGCAGCAGCCCCCCGTGCAGCGAGTCCAGCCTCCGGCGGTGCCTCACCACCCACAGCAGATGGTCGGCCCCGTCTACCAGTCAACGCCACCCCTGTCTCCGTCGGGGGTGCTCAGCCCAGCTCGTACCGCCCACCAGGGCTCCACCTCTCCCCGCTCGGGATCTGGGGGCTCCCCGCAGACGCCGGAGCGCGGAGGACGGGTGTTCGTGCCGCTGCAGTCCGCCGCCGACGCCGAGCCCGACTCCCGGCCGCCCTGGGCCGGCGCTCGCGGCTCCGGCCGGGTCAAACAGCGCGCTGCCTCGCTGTCGGGCGCCGAGCCGCCGCGACCCGAGCCGGGTTCTGCCGCCGGCCGGCCGCCGTCGGGCGACTTCGGTCGGCACATGTCGGCCTTCGCATCGACGGGTCGCGGCCGGGCGCCGCCGTGGCCACTCCCCAAACAGCTGTCATGTGACGCCGCTCCGGACCTGCGGACCGCCTCACTGGCCCGCGCCTCGGGGGCTCCGCTACCGACGGCGCCGTCTGCCAGGGTACCGCAACAGCAGCCTCCGCGAGATCACGGTCCCGACTTGCGGACGGCGCCGATGGCCCGCGCTGCTTCCCAGCAGCAGCAGCAGCAGCAGCAGCAGCAGCAGCAGCAGCAGCAGCAGCAGCAGCTGTGGCAGCAACAACAACAGCAACAGGCTCAGCAGGAGTATCAGCGGCGGCAGCAGCACCAGGCGCAGCGGCAACATCAGCAGCGGCAGCAGCAGCAGCAGCCGTCACCGCTCCGCCCGCCGCCGGCCGCGGCTCGGACGGCCGGACCCCGGTCTCCGGCGGCCGGCAGCGGAGGCAGCCTTCTGCAGCGCAGCAGCAGCTCGGACATGCTGCGCTGCGGTGGCGGCTCGCGGCCGTTCGAGGCTCGCTTCGACGCCGCCAGCGCCAAGCAGAAAAAGCAGCAGCTCGACTCTTTCTTCCGAGAGCGCGAGGACGAGCGGCTGGCGCGCTCGTTCGACGACCTGCTCGACGACGATGACCTGGCGCTGGCGGCGCCGGCGGGTAAGTCAGCCGGCCGCGCGCCGCACGCGCTCGCCAAGTCGCACACGGTCGGCGACATGCGCTCTGCTCAGCGGCGGCCGGCAGCGGCCGGCGGCTCGTTCGCCCGTCGTCAGCACGCCTGGGAGAGCAGCACGGGAGCGAGCATGGCCGTCGGACTGGGCTCCTGTAAGTGGCGGCGTCGGGGGGAGACGGACGCCGCGCCGCGGCCAGTGACGTCACGGATGACGTCACTGTCCACGGCCGGCTCATGGCGTTTCTGCGAATGCCACTGGCGCTGACCCTGATCCAAATGACTGCACGGCTTAGCGCGGCCCCACGGCGCCGCTGGCTTCCTAACTCGTGTCCGGGGTGGTGTGTGCATGTGTTTGACGTGATTTGACAGCATGCCGATGACGCCGTGGCCCAGAGCTGACAAGACGCTTACCATGGGACGACTACGGGCTGCGCCGTGATGTGAATTATCACAGTCGTTGGAAGCATTGAAGCTGATAATTTCAAAGCAATTTAGTCGCAGCCTCTTTAAAGGTGAACCTACTTCATCAGCAGAATACTCAAATTATAGCTGCAATTCCATATATCATCTTCAATGTTTTTAATGTGCAATGATTATTTTATTTAGTTTTGTACCTATGCCTTTATGGCGTTTTTGAGCTCATGTTGTGGTTTAAATAAAGTAACAGCCTTTCAATTAGATCACATTTGGTACAACACAACACTTTTGAATGTTCATAAATATTTGCAGTGATAACATGGTAACCTGATTTGATCTAACCGAGATGAATTTCGATTTTTTTTTTGGCTTCATTCAGTAACGTGACAGCGTTGCCGGCATGCGCCATTAGCGTCATTTTTCTTGTTTCTAGATGCTCCGCCACCGCCGCCGCCGCCTCCCGCCGCCGAAAAAGGTCAGCCAATTCATCACGCTGTGCCTGCACCAGGCTTTGACTATACAGTATACCTACCTAGACTTAGACATAACCCTAACCCTATAACCCTATAACCCTATAACCCTATAACCCTGCCCTAACAAGTAACAGATGTGAGTCTACATGTAGGTATCTCAACCTGTTACCTACTGGATTTTCATTTATTCTTTGATATATTAACTTGTATAACTATTTCTTAAACATATATCTTCAATCTACATCTCCGTTCCTGCCTTCGTCTCTGACTTGTTTTCCATGTTCGCCTCTATCTCTGCATCTATAGGCTCCGTTTTCTCTACCCCTTTTTATCCATTATCCATATCCTTTTCTTTTTCTATGCTTCCATTTTTCTCAACACTTTTCTCAGTTCTCTATCGGTGTGATATCTTGTTACGAGCGAGCGAGCGCAGCGAGCGAAGCGAAGTCTTTTCAATATAACGGAAAAATCTCAGTATGAGCGGCCCGGCCCGGCCCGGCCCGGCCTGTAACGCTTTTGAGAGGCTTATATCTCAGCAACCGCTGGACCGATTGGCCTGCGGTCTTTTTTGCTGGGTAGCCCCATCCCTTCTACCCCGTAATTGACTACTTGTGATACATCTCAGTGACCGCCGTGGCACGTGCCACGTGAAAAGTCAAGGGTGTTTAAGCAGTTTTGCAAAAGTAGTGATTTTGAGAGGCCCATATCTCAGTAGCGGCTTGAGCGATTGTCTTGCGGTCATTTTTATATTGTAGCTGCATCCCTTCTACCAAAATTCGGATACTCTTCATCTATGTGAGTGACCCCCACTGCACGTGCAAAATACAACAATAAGAGGTGTCAAATTTGTTCCCATTTCAGTAACTCGGTAATTACTGGGGCGATTTCGCTGAAACTTGGCATACAGGTATGCACCCACCAGGCACTGCATTCCCATGTGTTGCGGTTAGGGTGCTACTGCACGTGCGCACGTGCAGGGGGCGTTTCCAGATCTCGAGAACGGCTGGGCCGATTGCGCTCAAATTTGGTACACGGTTGGGGACCGGTTAGTAGGGTGCCGTGCAAAAGTCATTTTTGACCCCGTTTGCACGTGCGCACGTGCAGAATGCCGCTTCCAGATCTCAGGAACGGCTGGGCCGATTGCGTTCAAATTTGGCACACCGCTAGCGACCGGTTAGAAGGGTGCTTTGCACAAGCCCGTTGGAAGTACCCTCTCGCCCTTCCGCAAGTGCAGGGCTCACTATCTCGCTCGCTCGTTCTTCGCCCAAAAGGCGTTTTACTGGTATTTATATTTATGTCTGTCGACTGTCTCTTTGCGCTTGTTACGAGCGAGCGAGCGCAGCAAGCGAAGTGAGTCTTTTCAATATAACGGAAAAATCTCAGTATGAGCGGCCCGGCCCGGCCCGGCCCGGCCTGTAACGCTTTTGAGAGGCTTATATTTCAGCAACCGCTCGACCGATTGGCCTGCGGTCTTTTTTGTTGGGTAGCCCCATCCCTTCTTCCTCGTAATTGACTACTTTTGATACATCTCAGTGACCGTCGTGGCACGTGCCACGTGAAAAGTCAAGGGTGTTCAAGCTGTTTTGCAAAAGTAGTGATTTTGAGAGGCTCATATCTCAGCAGCCGCTTGGGCGATTGGCTTGCGGTAATTTTTGTAGGGTAGCAGCATCCCTTCTACCAAAAATAGGATACTCTCGATGCATGTGGGTCACCCCCAGTGCACGTGCAAAATACAACAATAAGAGGTGTCAAATTTGTTCCCATTTTAATAACTCGGTAATTGCTGGGGCGATTTCGCTGAAACTTGGCATACAGGTAGGCACCCACCAGACAATGCATTCCCATGTGTTGCGGTTAGGGTGCTACTGCACGTGCGCACGTGCAGGGGGCGCTTCCAGATCTTGAGAACGGCTGGGCCAATTGCGCTCAAATTTGGTACACGGTTGGGGACCAGTTAGTAGGGTGCCGTGCAAAATTCAGTTTGGACCCCGTTTGCACGTGCGCACGTGCAGAATGCCGCTTCCAGATCTCAGGAACGGCTGGGCCGATTGCGTTCAAATTTGGTACAATGCTAGTGACCGGTTAGAAGGGTGCTTTGCGCAACCCCGTTGGAAGTACCCTCTCGCCCTTCCGCACGTGCAGAGCTCACTATCTCGCTCGCTCGTTCTTCGCCCAAAAGGCGTTTTACTGGTACCCTAAGTATTACGAGAATGAATTTCATAGTTTTATAGCCACAATAACCGTTCAACTTATTAGATACCTCAGCTGACCGTCCCTCCCCTTCTCTGCCGGGAAGTGAATGTTCTGTTCAGCTGCTGCTGAGCAAAATATGACCATTATCTCGCGTGTTTGTCAATTTCGATTTTGTCAGTTATCTTTAGATCTTACATCATATTATATTGGCAATAATATGTATCGTTGAGAAACCCGCTTTAGCAATATCGTTGAACATATTGACCTGAACCTGCAGTGACCCCCTCAGTTTCCACCCTGTATACTCCCGTAGTTTGGTGTGTGTCATGTGGTGTATTTGTGCCACTTCTTGCAGCATCCACCTCCTCTTCGAAGAGCAGCAGCAAATCTCGAAGCAAAAAGATTGACGACGGTGCGTAAAAATCGAATCCATGATTCAAGATTAAGCTTTAATTGATCCTTGCTAAATATGATAACCACCATTTTGTAGGTTAGGAAATTCGGTACAATTATTTATTCGTTCTGAATTAATGAAACTTAATGGATGAACTGTGCCGCATTGCTGAGTTGTTCTATAGCTAAATGCGGTTTAGTTACTCGTACGAGTAGGCTGTTCCGCCCGACACCACAGTACTGCGGCACAGTCTAAGCGCCAGTGCGGCAGAGAAACGACAGCATTGCCCCATAAGCACAAATGGCTGAACTTATGCGCTTTGGCAGTTGTTTTTTTTTCTCGGAAAATGAAGAAATGAAATGTTTTTTTAGTGAATGCTTTTTTGTTTATTTATATTTTTATTGTGTATTACTTTACAGAAAATTAGCACAACTGATCGTAAGCTAGTTCTACATAGTATCTTTATTTGACCTTGAGAGCGTTACGGTCGATGTAGATACGACGATTGTTTTGTATCTGAATCTATATTTGCGCTCCATGCATCAGAATTTCGCTTTAATTCCATTTCCAGAACTCCCATTGATTTCCCACCTTACTCACCTATATGCTTTTTCTGCGAATAATTCCGTTCACCTGATCAAATTTGTACGATGCCTTCTCACCGTCGTTCACGCTGAAGTGTGATGCTATGCAAGGTCTTAGGTGACCAATCAATGGCCTGTCATTACACAGTCTATCTCTCATCAAAATGACCTTTTCCCCCGCCCAATATGCATAAGGATTAACTCTCCACTGTCGAGACATTACGTAGGTAGTTCGGTAAAATCAATTGGGATAGCTGAAAATGGAATTGAAGCAGAAAGCTAATTATCAATGAAGAAATAAATGTTACTCATTACTGCAAAGCAGATAAATCATGCACTAAGCGCCATCAATGTATGATATCAGAGCTTGGACTCATCACCAACGTAAGCCCTTCTTTCAGATACTCTGGACCTAGTCAGAAAATACTTCGCAAAGGAGAGAATGTAGTGCATTTAGAGAACTGCGTAGCGCTCGGCTGTGATCACAAACCAGGTGTAAGCAGACTGGCCATCCTCTTCCTCCGTATATTTGTTATAACAATTGGTGTGTCTGGCTTTGGTGCATTAATATACACAGATCTGCTCAATGCTGAAATGGTCCATTCTTCTTATATTCTTTGGTCTTGGTGCTGTCGCTTTTTTACACGCACGGACGGATCCAGGTGTCACCTCTTGTGAGATACTTACTTCCCAGATGATACAAAAACCACAGAACAATGAGACGCTAAAACTCAGTAGAGTTGTTTTAAGAACATCTAGGGATTCGTTCTGTAAGTTGCTACTATTTTTGTTTACTCAGTTGCCACACGAGGTGAAGCGACTTCAGCTGTCAAAGGTACTAAAAGGTACTTACCTTTTATCTTACCTTTTAAAAGGCAAAGGAACTCTTCCTTCCACTAAGGCCTCGTCCGTGCGTGGATTGAAGCTAATGGACATGGCTTTCCTCGGTAGTCGCTTAGACACAAAAAACATGCCTGCTGCTTCCTAATTTAGTGTAACTCCTTCATTGGGTCTTATTTATCGACGTTGCTTCCTATTTGATTGCCATGTTTTTTTTTGGTAGCGCTAACCTCAGCTTCAATAGGACCTAATCACATAAAGGTAGGTACTAACTTGGGGGGGGGGGGGGGGGGGGGTTGCTAAGTTGGCCGTTTCTTAGAAAACGATTTATCTAAATGTTGGCATGCTACTTCGAATTTTAGTACCCTCTCATGCCTCAATGAGGCGTGATCCCTGAAAAGTTGAGCGATTTCTGTACGATTGTATTTTTTTTTTTTTAATGACGTCTTGTGACGCTACTTTTACTAAAAAAAACAACAACAAAAAACAGGCGTGTGTAGCATTTTCAGATTTAGGTAGGGAAAAATATGCATTAAAAACAATAACAAACAAACGTTTATACGATTGTAATTTGTTTTTCAAATGCTGTCTTGTTTTGTATTTTGACCAAAAGCTTAAAAAATAGGTAGATTGAGCAATAAATCCAGAATATTGAGCTGATAAAAACGGAACGCTTGTAAGAGAAGTAAGTACGTACGTTGTACCTACTAAGAGCCCGAGCCTACATTCCATTTTTATGACGAATTGGTCAAAAATATAAGAGTTATTGATATTTTAGTGAGTTCATGACACACCATTTTTTGATGTTCTAAGCCTTGCACGTAAATAAAACCAACATCATTAAATTTGTCGTGAAAACTGCAACAGATGGACTCTTTTTGTCTTTTAAATAAGCTTTAAAGCCCATCTGACTTTATTTGATCTGACCTTAACCTGACCTCGACCTGCACTTCATTCAGATATGGTTCATATCACTAATTTAGTATTTACATTGCCGTTCGTTGAGTAAAGGGGCCCAAAGCAAAAACTGTTCTTTTGGGAGATTTCAATAGTGTGTTCGATGTCCATTCACTAGCACAGCAATTGAACCTAAAGCAAATCGTTACGGAACCTACCAGAGGTGCGTCAATTCTTGACATGATTTTAACTGATTGTGAAGCAGAGAGAACGCCTACCATTATTCCAGCCATTGGTACATCGGACCATGAAACGGTTGTCTGGATCGGTAGCGCACAAAACAAGAAATTTCACCAATATCGCACCGCAAGACCGATGAGAGCCTCGAACATCAGACAGTTTGGCCAATGGATATGTGAACAAGACTGGAATGACATTACCAGCTTTACTGATGTAGATCAAGCAGCCGAGGTGCTTGAAAATAAACTGAAAATTGCCTACGAAACATTCTTCCCGCAGATTACGTATAAATGCAGAAGAAATGATCCTCCGTGGATGACGAAGAGGATTAAAGAACTATTGATCCTACGTAACAGGGCACACAGCCGCCAGCAAACCAATCGCCTCAAACAGCTACGTGAGAAAGTACGATCTGAGATTTGTTCTGCGAAGACCCAATGGTACAGAAAGCGGATGGGTCAAGTCTCATCGGGCAAAAAGGCATCATGGTACAGAGAAGTGTCCAAATTAACTAATCGGCAGCCGAAGTCATGGGACTTCAAAACCACAGATGAAGCAACTTGTGATTCCGCAGCTGAGCTAATAAATAGACACTTTGCCCAAGTCTGTACGACCTATGAGGGACTACAAGTGGACAAACTCCCGTGTTACTTACCGGCGAATGACATTCCTTTCGATATCCAGCCATGGCAAGTGGCACTGCATCTTTCACGGATCAGAGAAAATATGGCTGTCTCCACTGGTCAATTACCTGCAAGGTTGATTAAGGAATTCTCAATAGAATTAGCAACTCCATTAGCGTATATATTCAACTGCTCGTTAAAAAGCTCCCAGGTGCCCTCGGTTTGGAAACGGGCTACAATCACACCGGTACCCAAGAAAGACAAGCCGCGCTCGCCAGGAGATTTGCGTCCCATCAGCCTCACACCCACATTTATGAAGGTTTTTGAAAGATTTATGGTACCGCTCATTCTCCACGACATAAGTCCAAAGATCGACATCCGTCAGTACGGCAACGTAAAGGGAGCATCGACTGCCCACTACCTGGTCAGACTACTGCACAACCTATTCACGCAGCTGGACAAGTCGGACAAAATATTTTCCATGATTATGTATGATTTCAGAAAAGGTTTTGATCTAATAGATCACACTACAGTCATACAGAAGCTCCTGAACATGGGACTCCGATCTGCCTACGCACATTGGCTCTGCTCCTTCCTTCAGGACCGACACCAACGAGTGAAGATGCCGGATGGCAGCATTAGCACGTGGAGCCCCATAACCTGTGGGGCGCCACAAGGGACCCTAGTGGGACCAGTAGCCTTCCTGGCTATGATAAACGATGCCGCCGTCCAAGACGAAAGGAGGCTTAAATATGTAGATGATTTAACAGTCTTCCAAGCATGCTCTGTGAATCAATTTAATGAAGAATGCACCCTACAGCAAGTAACGGATAAATTGTCGGAATGGGCCAACACGAACAAGATGGTGCTGAATACAGAAAAATGTCAGATTCTTCACTTCTACACAGCCAAAAAGCCTATTATCTTACCGGATATAGACCTTAATGGCAGCAGTATACCAACAACTGACCACGCAAGATTACTTGGGATCACGATATCCGGTGACATGTCCTGGCAGAAACATGTTGATGACATTGTGTCCAAGGGATCCCGAGCCCTCTACATGCTGCATGTAATGAAGAGGTTTCGGCCGCCACAAGAGCAGTTGGTTAAGGTATATACCACATACATAAGGCCACTGCTCGAGTACTGCGCCCCTGTATTCCACGCCGGACTAACTGTTCAACAGGCTCAGAAAATAGAAAAGGTACAAAAACGGGCCGTCAAAATAATCGCCGGATACGATGAAAGCTACCAGGACATCTTACAACGCCTTAACCTGGAAACACTCGCTAATAGAAGACAGACTTTATGTTTAAGACTCGGTAAACAGATGCTCAAGTCGATAGCACATCAAGACTTATTCCCGAAATCGAGAGGCTCGATATCCGGCAGAGAAACGAGAAGTTCTAACACTCTTGAAACGTTTTGCTGTGGTACTCGCCTGAGGAGGTCATGCATTCCACATATGACCTCGCTCATTAACCTGGATATCATGTCGTCCAGATAGAATATGGCCTGTACGCTACTGTTATCGTAATTGCGCCAATGTAGTTGCATTTGTTTATTTGCAGTGCCTCAAAACTGCTGTACTGTTATCACGTGCGCTATATGGGCAAATGCTCGCAGCCATGAACTAAATACACCGTATCTCTCTCTCTCTCTCTCTCTCTCTCTCTCTCTCTCTCTCTCTCTCTCTCTCTCTCTCTCTCGTAAAATGACTTATGAAGCATAGCTCGCTCATATTCTATTTAATATCTTTACCTTTGGTGGCCTGGCCTGACCTTAATCCTGAGTTTTGTATGACGTTTTGTGGAATGCATATTACCTTGGTAGTTTAAAAACGCGCACTGGGTAATTAATCTGAATCGATTCCTTGCCAACAAGGTTCTAAAGCCATTGGTATAGAAACATGTAGTATTTGAAATTGACGTTTACCTTGACCTGACCTAATAATCTAGTTAGGCAAAATATTTTGTGTTCCAAAGATTCGTCTTGTAGACAGCTTTCTATTGCCGTCTTCCTCGTATTTCTTCAACCATCTGTTCGCCGGTGTAGACAGGGAGCAAAATCTGCCCCCCCCCCGCCCCCTCACCCGGCAGGGCGGACTCGGCTGAATAGCGCAATGGGTCGCCGGTTAATTTACCTACACAGCAAGATCTGTTTGCATGCTAATTAACTGCTCGAAGATCGTTATATTTGTATGCTATATATCTTGAATCTAGATAAGCGCGCAATGGGTCGCGGGTTAATTTACCTGAAGAGCAAACTGATATGTTTGCATGCTAATTAACTGCTCGAAGATCGTTATATTTGTATGCTCTAGTACAGGGTGTCCAGAAAAAGGATACTATTATTTTTTGCTGTAATTCCGAAAATAAACACCGCACATTTTAAAATGGCACATGCTTGTATTCGCAAAAATATGGCAAAACAGACAGCAGGTGCCACATGGCATATAAACCCTTTGGTTAGTCGCGGCAGCTCCCTAAAGCAGATACTCAATGTGAGCGGCCTTCCGGCGGATCTGCTCCAGCACTAGCACGGTCTGCAGGTGACTGATGGTCATGTTGACCATCTCGGAGGGCGGGCGGACAACTTTCCAACGACTCATTACAGTGCTCACGAGTTTTGCCAAATCTTGCACTATAAGCACATGAAGTTGGAAAAAAATCTGCACGTGCGTTAATGAATGCGACTTAATTTCCCTAGTATCTTTTTTCTGGACACCCTGGATAAGCGCTTAAAGGTAGTGTGCCACCTTTGAAAGATTTCCCATTTTATTTTTCCTAGGATAAGAAGCTTCTGTTTTTACCTAATATCGCATAAAAAAAATCAAAAATGGGCCTGGAATAGTGCCTTTTTCACCTAAAAGTTTATCGGTTTTTCGATATGTATAACAACTGTAGTGGGCTGACCTGCAAACAGGCGTCGGCAACAATCGCGAATGGGGCGCACAGCAAAGGTCATTATAGAGTTACGACGTACGGGAATGAGTTATCAGCTGTCTAATCGTAGACAACACAATGTCGAGCCTTAAACTGTGAGCCTGTATTGGTATTGTTTCTTTTATTTGGCTGTCAAACATTATTTATGGTTTGAAATATGATTTTATGTAAAATAATTGATATGAAAAAGCCGTCTCTTAAGTTATGACCCCATTTCACCACACGCAAGTGGCAGAAATGACAATGATCAGCTGACGCATTAATCTTGGCCGAAGTCAGAGCGCGCGGCCCGACGCACCGTGTACATACAATAGAAAAACACAATTCTAACGAATAGTGTTTGTCTATTTCAAACAACCTGCGTTTACAGGAATTTACAAACTACGATTAACGCATTGTTACGGTCAGTCACATTCAGGTGCTTGTGACCGCTACACCATGCTTCCAGCTGGTATTTAACCTGGAATCTAGAAAGAGATACGGTCGGGGAGGCTCTCATAAGCAAAAAATATTGTCATACTGCAGCGGGGCATACTTCGCCCTTTTGAAAGACATCGATACAAGGTCGCGCCGGCTTCAGCCAGGTCTCATGTCTCAGTGATCTACCGTAACAACATGCATGTGTTTCTAGTAAGACATCCATTGTTCCGAAATAAGCTCGGCCACCAACGACAATCAGATAGGACAGTTTGCGAAATCTTTCCCAGTCATGTGCGGTTCCATATATAGCTAGAAGTTAGGTAGCTACTTATCCATTGTGCAATTTATAAAGAATGTCTCATTACGAAATATTGCGTTCTGTGCCAGCTTATACTGATCTCAGGCAGCTTTTGCCAAATTGTCAGGGAACTCAGATTTGTTTTTCAATAGAAAAACACAATTCTAAAGAATAGTGTTTTAACTATTGACAACAAACCTTCGGTTAAAAATATCAATGGTAGATATGATCCTGAAATATAAATGACAAGGCACTTTGGATTGCATTACTATTTGATGAGCTCCGCGGCTGGCATCGTTTGCGGCCGGCCGCAGTTGTTACTTTTTTATGAGCTGCTTGTTGCAGCGTCAGAGGGCGGCACAGCTCACCGATATGTATCGGATGGGTGGCCGAAATTGGTCTCTGCGGGACCGGTCATATCGCAGCTCTGAGACGCACCAGGAGCTGCCATAATACACACGGCCGTAGCCGAGAAGTGCAAGCCGAATGTTAGCCTGGTAGACCAACTGGTTGCTAACTTTTCTGTTCCTGTGATTTTTTATTTCTTGGCACTCAGCTAATATGCTCCTCCTTCTTTTCAGATCCGGCTGCTGGGAAAAAGAAAAAGTAAGTACTTTTTGTGTTCATGATCTGCGTAGTTAATGGAAAGCCGAACGCAATATACGTAGGCCTTAATGTTTCAATGTTACGTTCCATTACATACGCCGTCACCGCCATGACATGGGCGAAATTATGTAGCTGGGTGGTGGGTCCGCACTCCGTCTGTCCAGAGATCCACACCTAATCGGTTCGGAGAGACCACCACAAGACTTACAAAACGGTCCCCGTAGTGACAGAATGCTCCTCAAACATACCATCTAAAGAAACGAGCGCATGCACTGTAACTAGCACTGGACCAAACCGGTTTGGCCCATCGAATCTTTGTTTAGCCCATAGCTAATGCCTGTGCCGTACTAGCCACACGGACTGCCTTGAGATTGGCATCACTAGGGAAGAGTCGCACATACTTTCTGGAAGTTTGCTGCTCATACCCCCATCGCTCGTCAGTCGTCATCACCACGACACGACGCTGGTTTCTCTCTGGATGGCTGACCTCAATACAAAGCGAGACATTTGGTTCATCTGCGGCTGGTCACGTACTAGCTGGAAACGCATCTGGCGTACTCGTAAATGAGTCGACCGAGGGAGAGACCGTGCTAGCCAGCTTCCCTCTCCGGTCATTAATTAATGTCTTTCTGGTGTGGTGGAGGAGAGGGCATTGGGGTCGTGGATGTGCAGTGTCCGGTGCGTCTCTGCACGACAGCCATTCAGGCCCATTATCAGATATTGGTGTTGATCGGAAAGTTTCCACAACTTCAGGACGTTAAGCTGTCACGCCTGAGTTCTGGCACAGATGTGATGAATCACCACCCGCTGCTGCTGTTAGGCACATGCTGACGATTTACATATGCATGACAAAGCTGACTAACATGATGGTATACTCGTAAGACCACTGTTTTCAATACATACATACACGATGAAGCTAATGCTTGCAATAGATGAACGATGCAAAATACACTAAAATACCCTAACTCTTGAATTTCGTAAGCCGTTTGCAAAGAAGCTAAGAAAGTGTTCTTTGACATATCTTATGTCGTCATACAAGCTGGACACAGGACGACATTACTTCGTAAGGGGAGCGTGGGAAAACAAGCATATGATTGGTGATAGAGCTAAATTCTTTCTTCCAATCGCAGCATGATATACCGGGTGGCCCAGAAAAAACGTTCCGAACTTTGGAGGCCTATATATCAAATACGAGTACAAATAACGAGCCAAAATTTTCATCAAGTTTGCGTCACTTCTTTGCGCATTGGTATGCCAAATTATAACACTATACCATCATTTCCAAGCTGGCAATCTTGAGTTGAATTAACCCTCGCCCCGTTGGGGGGGGGCCATTTTGGCCCCCCCCCCTGTGGTTTTTCCTGAATAGCAAGAAAACGGCGGCGCGCAGCGCCGCCAAATTTTCAGTACCTTCCCGGGCATCAATTTGACACCTTCACACCAAATTTCAAGTCTTAGGTCACCTTAGGTCAGGAGTTATTGAGGTCAAACTGAGGTCATGTTCGAGCAAAAATGAGCAAAAAACATGCAATCTTGAAACGCTCACCAAATCTACAGTTATCAAGCAATTTCAAAGTTCTTTATATGGTCTAGTAGACAAAAGGCGGCGCTACAAAACTGCTATCTCGGATTTTCAAAATTTTTGGTTTTTGACCCAAAAAAAATCAAAAAATTGATTTTTTTAGAAAAACTTTGAAAAAATCCAAAATTTTTCCGAATTTCGAAAAAACCGGAATATATGTGATAGTCCCAGCGCTCTGCTATATACATACCAAATTTCAGATCGATATCTCGTTTTTTGGCCAAGTTATAGCGAAAAAACTGTTCAAAAATGATGACGTCAAATTTTTGAACTCAATTTTTAGCAATTCTAGACCTCGTACGGCAAAACAAAGACCACCATTGAACTCCCCGTGACGAGCTGCATCGATTCGATACCCATTTTATGCAAAAATATTAACTTTGAAATTTGACCTAATTTGACCTGACCTTGACCTGACCTTGACCTGACCTTGACCAAAACGTGATCTAAGCTGGCCCCAAAGGCTGCCTGACCCATATAATCGCATTTGTCATGTAAAATGGACCATAAAACATGTATCACACGACACTTTCATATTGTGACCCCCCCGTGACCTGACCTCTGTGACCTGACCTGGTATCAGTGACCTCAAATAGCAAAATATGTGTTTGAAGAACATTTCCCCATCGATGATTTTCAATGAAATGCATTTTACTCGATTTTACAACGCATTACTTGAAGTGCCTGTAAACGGTGAAAATTGGACCTTTGACCTGACCTGTGACGTCATCGGTTTGACCTAGGTCAATAAAATTGGGTCACAAGGTAGTTTCCCGTTGGGGCTATCCAACGCCGTTTACCGCTTGTCGCTATGTTGCGTGGTTCTCGAGATCTTAGGGGGGGGCCAAAATGGCCCCCCCCCAACCGGGCGCGTTGCTCGGCAGAGCCCAACGGGGCGCGGGTTAAAGGAAGGGTGCCACCTTCCGAAATTTTTGTTCTATGAATCTATTTTACTTATTTGAATTTTTAGACGTGGTTAGCGCGTCCACAATATACAAAAAACCGAAACATTGCATTTAATACATTGGCCAAAAAAAAAAGATCGTTGTTTATATCACCACTACAACTCAAGGTCGTTTGATGTGGCAGCTAGGACGGCTGGCATATCCTGTCGTCATGGCAACATATCATTCTGCCATTTGCATTGATGGCGCAACTGAGACAAAAAGATGAACAAATAAAAAGGAAGAAGATAACATGATTTGAACTAAGTTGTAGGTAACCAAGTAGGTAACTGTTGGCCATATTTGCCAACTGTTAAAGAACATCAAATAAGTCGAGTAAAGGTTTTTCCTTTACAATGCTTAAGAGATCTATGGAACCCTTCACCCTTCATGCAACTTACTAGAAAAACTTCCCAATTAAAATTTTAAAACTTAAGTGTATACCATAAAGAAAAAATATACCCTTTCAAAATGATAAAACATGCTTCAAAAGTATAACTTTTATACATACCTTTGCTGATTTCATGTTTTATAAAATACCCTTAACACGACGAGGAAATAGTGCTGAAGATTTTTGCCTGCCCGAATGCTGGCAGCAAAACTCGCAAATGATAACTTCACGTGCGGATTCAATGCTGACCGTCTCGAGCATAGGTAAGTGAAGCCGGTTTTTAGGTTCATGTGAGGCTAATCTTGTAAAAACTGCGTTGTGTCCAAAAGGTGGCACCCTTCCTTTAAGCAAGACGTTTTTGCTTTTTTTTGCCGATGTCAAACGATAGTGATGATTGGGTTAGACGTCCCATGTTATACAAAAGAATAAAAAATAGAGCACATGAATGAAACCAACACGCATGTTCTTATTTTAAATATTTTTGTCTCACTTAGGTGCCAAATATTCAAATACTGAGCCGAAATGGTGCTCATGGATGTCATTCGTTTCAACACCAAATCATGTTTCGAGCAGGAGTGGCACGGTGCATGGATTACTGCTGATTACCCTCCTTTCAGTAGATCAAACAGTAAATCGACCGGATAAGGAAAACAAACTAAAGCAGACTGGTTCCTGTGCCAGAAGACCACAGAATAGCTGATGAAAAACAACATTGCCAGCAGATGACAAAAACAAAACTGGTTGAAAAGCTACCTTTTCCCAGGAATGTCAGCCAAGAAAGCATTTGAGCCACAAGATGGTTAGAAAACTGGAAACTTCTTCCGATGCCCCTGGCACAGAGCCATCGTGGTTGCCTGAGGGAAAGTGTCATCCTGAGACCCGAACCATTAATGAGACTAGCTGCCAGTAGAAGTCATGGCTCTAGGCCGCGGTGCCGCGTGGTGAAAGTGACCCGTTCACTCACATTTTTTTTAGTAAACATCGGAGCAAAAAAGTAATTTTTACATGGCATGCTTGAAACACGAACCGTTTAAAAAGGTATTTACCGAACACCATGAAAATCACACCATTTACTGAAAATGTGTGCCGCATTGACTATTCGAAGTTTCAATGTTGTATCTTTATCACTTTCTGAGAAATATTGATTTAAAGTTGGGAACGTTTTTTCTGGGCCACCCGGTATAGGCCAGGCGCAGAAACGCGTGGTGAATAACGTCAGTTCTCGGTCCTCGCCTTGCTCAAAATAGAATATTGTTGCTTTTTCAGTATATATTGCCAGATGCCTCTCTGTGCAGCGGATATGAGCGTGTGGGTGGGTCCATGAGGGAGGTTTTTTTGTGACGCTCCTGACGTCAGACTGTGCCCCTCTGTTGCAGTGATGGCTTCGAACTGGACTGCGTGCCCCAGGGAAAGGGAACTAAGGAGGTCATGCTGTTCTGGGTCCAGTGCCGGCTGAGGGACTACAAGGTATGTTATGTATATAGGCACAATGTCCTTCCATGCGTTTCGTATTTTGTATCTTGTTTTACGCACAATGTCAGTTGAAGTGTATGCCTAAGCAGTCACTAAGCAGCATAAGCGTCATGCAAAGTAACAAGCTATACGTTTGAAAATCAGGAATATTTTGACCGGTCTGATTTAGCTAAAATGAGCAGAGCGTTTTTTCCACGTCACAAAACGGCTCAGGCATCGATGCTCGTCTCAGGGACTCACACTAATGATCTGCAGGACTCAGACGGCTGACTGTGCCACCAGTAGCGGCGGAACACCCTCAATTAAGGGGGGGGGGGCACTGCCGACTTTTGATCCCATTCTTTCCATGCAACGCCCATAGGGCTAATGTTAAAATGCCAAAATCAAAGGGGGCACAGTGCCCCGGTGCCCTCCCCGTTCCGCCGCCACTGTGTGTGCCACTGTGATAAAGATGTCGCTAATAAAAAATATTAAAACACTTTGTGCCTACAAAATAAGTGCATGTCGGCTTTTCCTGGATATGAATGAAATGCGGCTAGAATAAAACCATTATTTGCAGACAAATTTGCACCGCGAAAAATACGAATGCATGCTTAAGAATGGGCAGGTTTTAGCCATTCATCATTATAACTGCTGACCCGCACTGACATGGCGATAAGAACAGAAGAAAGTATGTAGAGTTACTATCGAGAGTCGGGACCCCAAAAGAACATGCATGTATGACACATGTGATGCAGTTTTGATAATAAAGATATGATATTTTCTTAAGTCGTAGTTTGCACCATCTGGTTAGTTCCTAAGCGGCAGTGAATGGCCTTGAATGTCCAGTGGTACATCAAATTGCTGATCTTTAGGTCTAAAGCACCCTAGGCTAGCCCCTGACACCAACATTTTGGCATTTTTCCGGCATGCATTTTCTCCTCAGACGATCAAGGTGGAGAACTTCTCCACCAGCTGGGCTGACGGCATGGCCTTCTGCGCGCTCATCCATCACTTCTTCCCGGACGCCTTCGACTTCAACAAGCTCGACCCGAGGAACCGGCGCTACAACTTCGACCTGGCCTTCAGGACGGCCGAGTGAGTACCAAACGAGTTCCCGAGAACTCGCGTTCTCTCGGAAACTGCTCCTTTTGTGGCAGCACTTACAAATATCTGCCCAATATTGGTGGTCTGCGGGGCTGTTTGCCAATGTTCCAATACAGAGAAACGCCAACCTCTATTGCTTACCGATTGATCACGCCACCCTGACACTGGTCTTGTGCGATATGATTGGTCGGCGCGCTGAATATTGCGCTACAAAAGCAGGGCTGAAAAAAGTGTTTCGGTGGTTGTCGTCCGAAGGAAAACGGGCTTATTTGGTTGTCGGCTAAAGATGTCTAACCCGCGCCCCGCTGAGGGTCCTTGATTTCCATGCACTGCTGGGGGGGGGGGGGTACAACACTGGGTCAAGCAGTGTTAAGCAGTAAACGGCATTCGAAAGAACGTCCAAAATAAGGATGAAAATATGTCATTCATTTGTTAGGTCAAGTCAAAGGTCAGGTCACCAGATGCCATTAAATGAAAAATATTGCCTTTTTCAACTTTTTCTTCGAAACACCGGCCCACAACTCGGGAACCAATTATAGAGCTACCTTCCACTCACCTTTCAACAAAACGTGCTCAAGTTAGTACAAGCACTTAAGTCGTGCAGACGCCACGGACCCTGCGTGCGAATACATTCTAATACCTCTCCTTCTTGATAGCGCAGGGCGCTCAGCTGTCAAGCTCAAATGTCCGACGATCCCTATTCCTCGACCTCGGAAGTCCCGAGACACCATATCCTCGTGGGCATGACATGGCGTGCCCTCCCCGCATCAACATATTACCGGCACTGGCGCGGTCCCGCCGCGGACCTACCCCCAGGCGCCGCCGGGGGTGGGTATGACGTCACAAAAGGAGCCCCGGCGGATTGGAGGGGACGCTAACTGACCGCCGGCCGGGGGCGGCGCTGAAGGGTGCGGGCAGGGGCCGGCCGAGTCCTGCAAGGTACTAGATTTGCCAGACACGTGTTGCCAGTGGACAACCACGGCGACCACTTGGTATGTCATTGGTCGCCTTTATGAGGGTCGCCGGTCGGCCGTCCGAACGATGGTCGAACGACGCAGTATATACTAGATAGCTACGGGGAGTTGGAATATGTCTGTAGCTACCAGGAAATTTTCCACTGGCGGATGCCGCCGCGTAGGGTGGTAACGGACTCGAGAACTGCGAGTCGATTTGATGGGGGAGGGACAGAGAATGGTTTGCGTGGGAGAGGCGATTGGGTTGGGTGGGCAGATACGAATGGATTGCGCGCTTCTAACCGCACTAAGCGGGAGGTCTAAATCAGTTCAGGCGCTGCGCGTGGTCGCCATAAGATCGTCTTCTCGGTTGTCGTCGACAACGACAAAACGATACAATTTTTCACCCCTGTACAAAAGTAATATGGGCTCCCATAATAGCGAATCCGAGAACTATAAGGGGAACAATTGGAAGAAAACACTGTCGCGCAACAGGAGATAAATAGGAAGTGGGGCACCGAATTAGGAATCTTATTGGCAATTGAGAAGTGGATGATGTCGAATACTGAGCCTCTTTCTTTTCATGCTTTCATGTTTTTATGTGTTTCTACTAGTGATGTCAATTACGGAAAATCGGAATACCGATACCAAACCAAATACCAACCAAAACCGTGGGGAAATACCGAAACCAAACCAATTTGGAATCATGATGAAAATACCAACTTTTTACCAATTTTTTAGCCTCTTATACATTAGTGAGGGCTCATGATACCAACAAAATACCGATTACACTAGGATTGAAATACCAAATACCAAGTTGGTATCGGTTTGGTATCGGTATACCAAAAAGTTGGTATCCGATTGACATCTCTAGTTTCTACGCAACCGTAAACTAATGATGTTCATAGTTGAATGTTATTTTCTGTTTAGTCAGTGGCAGAGTTTCTGGTTAGGTATTTCCCCGCTGACGCTGTTTTTCCCCGCTCGGCAGTCAGCGGGCGGGCATTTTTCCGCTGCTGGACGCCGACGACATGGTCTCCATGGAGAAGCCCGACTGGAAGAGCGTGTTCGCCTACATCCAGTCCATCTACGCCGTGCTGAAGTAGGCGCCGCCGCAGTCCGGTCTCCGCGCGGCGCCGCTCCCAGCCCGGCCCCCCTCAGCGCCTGACCTCCGCCCCTCCCTCTCCCCCTCCCGGCGCCCTGCCGCGCCTGCAGGGCTGCCGTGTCCCCTAGATGAGGACCTGTCCATGTGGTCTGTGAGCGCGATCGTGATCGCCGGTCGGCCGCGTGCCGCCGCCAGGTCGAGTGTAGCGGCTAGCTGGAGACTGAGAGCTCCACGCACGGTGATGTGGCCTTCTGTGGGCTTCTGTCAGCGTCTGTGATCAGAGCTGAGAGTACGCCCCGGTGAAGTGCCGCTCTTTTTCACCGTGTACAAAGTGGCATCGAGCGTCAACTGAATGCGAGTGGTTGTGATCACAGGAGGATTCCGAGACTACTTGGCTTTTGGTTCGGCTGGAGCAGGACTGAAAGCTTCGCACAGTTAACGGCCTTCTGTACATCGGCGCTACGCGATGTCCGTTGTAAGCAATACTGTTTGTACTGATAGGTAGCCGGATGGATGGTATTCATCGCTTTTTTAACCAGTCAATAAAGTGACGGCCTAGGTGGTACCCATGTTTGTGTGATGTAACAAGTTTCTCTGTTTTCCCTAAATCAAATTATTCGGGAATTTTTATCCTATAGCGTAGAGCACACGGTATGAATGAGCAAAGGGTTGAATGAATCCTACTGGATACCATTTATTGACAACAGAGGTTCCTATAAACGTTAGAAAATAGCATCAGGTTTGAGCATTTTCATGACAATTTACAATAAGATGAAGGTATCGTTAAGAATTTAATGTAAGGACATGATGCAGTGTAAACGTTTATATACATACAACACAAAATAATCAGGATCCGATGCACACGAGTAAGTCGCACACGAAAGCTGATTGACTGTCACAGTAAAAAAACGCTGAGACATAAAAACAGATGCATGACTCTGCGGTCTGCACACGTCATTTTGTTCGCCTTTCTGTTAAACGTGTTGAATTGTTTTTTTCTCAGCTTTTAACCCTCGCCCGCACATGGGGGGGGGGGGTTGCCACCCCTCAGGTAGTTTTCTGCTCTGCACTCAACTCAGCATTTTTAGAGCTAGAAGCCTGATTTCTCGAATAGCTGCTCCTCTATCCTTTCTTGATGTCCACTGAAAATTTCAGGTTTCTGTGGTTTTTGGTTTCGAAGATATGACCTTGTTTTTCAGGTCATGTCATGACCCAAATGACCAATTCTCAAGATCTTGCGTTGGTTATGGGCCTTGTGAGCTTTTGACACCTTGATTTCGGCCTTTTTTGCCAGTCTTACCTCCCACCTATCATGGAACATGTTGTTCAACGATGTACAGAGGTCAAGGTCAGGGTCAAGGTCAACCTGGGTCATCTAAAATAATTGCGTTTTAGGCAAGCTGAATTTACTATTTGTGAAGTTTTTTGACTGCATTTTTGGTAAAAGCTTCTCAGATCATGATCTCATGTAATATGGACACATAAACACTCTGTGCACACATCAGTATACACACAGACACACACAGACATACAAACACATATCATTGACCTTGACCTAACATGACCTGAAATGACCTCAGCAGCAAAAATCTGGTCGGGTAGTGTGAAAAAGAGGTTCTAGCTGGCTTGGCACCAGAAAACGGCATCGTCATCGGTATATGCTAGGAGCAGCGCACTTCATATCCAACGGTGACCCAAAACACCAACATTTTTTAGTTTGACCTGACCTGGAAGGTCAATGACTGACCTGAGAAGGTAAAACTGGGTATCATTGGATTCGTCTCTTCCCAAAGAATCTTTTTGGTCTCTACCGCGAGGCTCTATCTCCAACAGGAACGAAATGGCGCGGGGGGGGGGGGTGGCAACCCCCCCATGTGCGTTCTAGGATGGGAAAATGGCATGTGCGGGCGAGGGTTAAAAGAAGCACATTCTGATAAAATTATAAACAGCAATGAGTAAAAACGCAAAATTCCAATCAGCGGACACTTCAAAAAGTGAGGTCAATCGATGATATAAGATAGCAATGTTAATGAAGCTAAGACCATGCATACAAATGACAGCACTCACATTCAACTTCTATTGTCTAAAGAATTGACTAATGTGTTTACAAAATTTCCTATTGTTGGTATTAAAGCCTAGCCCAGCTTCTCGATATGATTTACACCCGGCGAAGGCTGTTATCGACGTGATCCATATCCTCAGCTCATTTGGTGTGAGAAATCGGAAGTCATGACAGTGACAGAGATGCCTTCATATCTGGTCGACACAGAAGACCGATTCTCGCCAATTCCACCGCCAGGCCGAGTCACGAGGCTCTCAGTCGACACACGGACTACAGAGTGGGGCGCTCACCCCACAGCCTCGAGGTTTGATAACACAGTACAACATTCCCAGGTCCGGCAGACATCATGAGCTCGACTCGGCGCTAAAAGATGTGCCAATACTAACTGTAGGTTACAGCGATACGTAAAACCACCCCACTGTATAGAAGAGTATACATATATGTAGCCATTGTGTAGCTCACCCATGTCGTTAGCAATGCCCAAAAGCAAAGGCGAAGACATTTCCCAGAATGTTATGAGCTCTTAGCGCCATTAGTGAACACCAGTTAACCCGCGCCCGGCTGGGGGTCGGGCCGTATTCACGTCGACTTCGTAAGTCGATTTTCTTTCGTAAGTATAATTTGGTATTCGCGTCGGCACTTCTTAAGTTTTTATCGACGAAGTTCACGTGAATAAAAAAATTTACTTAACAAGTAGGTCAAACTTAAGAAAATTCTTACGAAAATGATCGACGTGAATACGGCCCCTGGATTTCCACGCCCTGCTGGGGGGGTGTTTGAACACCCCCCCCCTTGTAACTCGGCTCCTGGGCCACGTAGCGATACGCGGAAGGCGGCGTTCGAAAGAGCGTCAAAAATAATGACGAAATCACTTCGGTCAATTTTTTGGTCAGGTCAAAGGTCAGGTCACCAGAGGTCATTGAAGGCAAAATTTCGCCGATTTCCAGGTCGAATGTCGAAAATTTCCAAGAAGCCAACGCATAACTCGAGAACCAATAGAGCTACAGCGCCGCGGAAAAGTGCATTCGATAGCCCTATTAAAGCCCTTTCTGAGTAATTCTCTCAGATTTGACCTAACGTCAACGGTTTTGCCTGCAGGGGGCAAAAATTGCAAAAATAGCCGATTTTTTCGGAAACAGTTTTTCTGCAATAACTTTTGACCCAAGCCTTGTACGAGCTTACTTTTACCGGCATTGTGTTCCTCTCGTCAAGACGCATCGAATGAACTATAAGTTGACCTTGAAAGGTCAACTTGAAAATTTGACCTCAGGTCAAGGTCATGACCTGACCGGAAAGGGTCATGTTGCATATCAGTCGATCCGTATCGTCGAGCTGAACACATCCAAGGCGTTTTCATCGCTCTAGCATGCCTCTATCAAAAGTTATTTGCGAAAAACTGTTAGATACCATTCGTGACCTAAGATGACCTCAGGGCATAAACAAGGGTCACGGACGCCATTTTCATGTTCAGTGTGTCTAAGCCACTTGTAATTCGGTATTTGGGAGTGTTAATAATGTCTTTTGTCCAAAAGAGGCGCATTTCAATTTTCTCCCATTGACTTATAATGGGGAGGTCGCAAAATTGACCTGACCTTAGGTCATCGATATCAAAATTCTGAGATATACATTTTGTACATGCTATTGCTCTTAGCAACCGCTGAAAGTTTCAAAGCGATCGGTCACTCGGTGTAGCTATGACAGACATTGAAACTTTTTATGAGGTGAGGTCACTTTAAGTGACCTGGTGACCTGACCTTGAATGACCTTGGTCTGAAATTTTCACAACATGTGTAGAATTGATGTACGATAAGGTGTACCAAAAACGGCGGCGCTCCGCGCCGCCGTTTTTGAGATATTCGCGAAAAACCACAAGGGGGGGTGTTCAAACACCCCCCCAGCAGGGCGCGGGTTAACGTGACTGCCGTAGCGCGGTAAAACACCATCCCATAAACCATCGTTCCGCAACCCATCTCTTATGTGTGTCTCGGGTGTATACAAAAATCGGCCGCATTCCTTGTCGTTGTGTGCCAGGCCGCATCCGTTCCCTAGCCAAGCCCATAGTGACACCAGTAGGCAAAGTTGAACGTGATGAAGGCGAATGGCATGAAGACGCGGCAGATGCGGTCGACGATCTTCGCCTCTGCCAGGTGAGTCTCCTTTTTGCCACCCTGGTCCAGCACCTCGGGCTCCTCGCTGCCGAAGAACATGGCCTTGAAGGACTTGCGCTGGCTGCCCCTGCGCTTGCGCTTCTTGGCGAGGTGGTGGACGAGCACGAACTCGAGCAGCGCCCCGAACACGAAGAACATGCAGGAGCCGATCCAGACGTCAATGGCCTGGCGCAGAGGGAGGGGACGGGGCGGAACTGATAGTGGTGTGATGTGCCAACATATAGCTTTCGGTAGGGCAACCTACTTATTGTATGCTTCGAAACAAAAACCATGTGCAGCACTGTGCTGTCAAAAAAAAAAACTTTTGTAGTGCAGCTGTGTGTACCTAAGCTTTGAGAAATACATAGAAATACAAAGTTCAATGTCGAATATTCGTAACTTTAAGTGAAAAAGTAGCTTGTCACAAGTCACATAGAGTAGTGATGTAACGCTGACGATATATGTGCTCGTTATAAAATATTAGGTACCACGATGATCCAGTTGTTGATAAACATAGGTACAATATGAAAAACATATCCGACCTGCACAAAGAGTGATCAAAAGAGTTACGTTCGTTCCTCAAGCACTGAGAACTTTTCATACAGGAAGAGATAAATGCAACAACAAATAACTCGTCATAAAGATGCCATGCATATCTGAAAGTCTGAAACATCTCTACAGTGTTTTTAAATTGTGCACACGATCTGTACCATTCATACTTGATATTTTCACAATGTCGAAATGCGTTGGATGTAGACAGCACTGAACACCACTGAACGGCAGGAGAAAAAGCAGACAAACTGTAAATATATTTTCATATTAGCGCACTATTCGCTACTTTTCTCATGTTATAACTTGTATTTCATGCAAAAAGTCAATCGCCCTTACATACTCATCTTATTTTCGGGGGGAGGAGAGTACCTACATAACTATGATCAGCCGTCAGGGAACGTGCTGTGGTTTCTATGTTAAAGTGAAATGTAAACAACACATGCGATTTAGCGTATTTACCCACCGGACGTAGTAAGGATCGGAAACAACGCACGGCACATTTGAGCCGCGTAACTGCTGGATCTCCTCGTGTGATCGTGATTGTGGAACAGTAATATAGGTATACTTTAGTGAGTTTCATTTTATCTTACCCACAGCAAAGTGAAAACTTAATTCAATAGTAGGGTGTATCAGCTAGAACCTAGGTACTCTTATTATTGTAGCTTTCACATAAGTTGGTAGCATTTACGCACCATACCGCAAACCTTAACCCTCGCACGACCAGGCCATTTCTCATAACACGAACGACCAGGGGGGGGGGGGTTGTTACGACCCCCCCTGGCGTTTCGAAACGGAAGGTCGTAGAGCTTAGCGGAAAAAACCAACGGATTGCTCTCAACGAGATCTCGCAATTGGTGGTATATTTTTGGTCCTAGGTCAACATTTGACCTACTTATGACCGGTCAAAGGTCAAATTTTCCGAAAAAATCAAACTTTTTCAACTTTCCGCGGCGATTGCGGCAAAACGGTGGGAGATATCGACTTGAAACCTTCACTATCGTGTTCCTTGATCAATTCTCTATCGTTTGGTATGTATTTCGTTTTCCTAGCTCTAAAAATGGCGCGTTGAGAGCGCCGGAAGTCGGCAAGGTCACAGTCGGCGGCAGAAATTCGAAAAATCAAAATTTAAATTTTTGAAATCTGATTGTATTTTTGGATTTGGGAGGTCCATTTGCTCCCTATAGAAGCTAATATTGCTGCATATTCCCATTGATGTGACAAGAATTAGCAAAATAGTGGTTCGGGCGCTTTTCAAAAATAGTACCGGACGCTGTTCCTCTTGTGACGTCATAGCTCCGTGACCTGACCTGACCCGGTCAATTTTCTTGCACCACACGATAGCCAATGCTTGCCCCAACATGCATGGGAAGTTTCATCATGATCCATCAAACAATGTGGGTATCACCGGCAGAAAACCTAGGGATTCGGCGCACACGTTTGGTAACTGTCGGCCGGAGGCTGTACCTCTTATGACGTCATAACTCCGTGACCTGACATGACCCGATCAATTTTTTTCGGCAAAAGATGCGCAAAGGTTGCCCCAGAGGGTATTGAAAATTTCAGCCCGCTACGACAAGCCGTTTAGCGTGCACTTCGAAAAAACCTCAGGGGGGGGGGTTTGATCCCCCCTAGACGTTCTAGGGTTAAATTTAAATCCGAACAAGATCAACATACAAACAACAACAACAACAACAACAACAACCAGCTTGCAACGCGCGGGAGCGCTTAAATGACATTGCCTAACTTACGTAGAGTCCAGGTATCCGGCTTATGTCGGCTATATGCTGTCAAAGGCGGGTGATTATTTGTAACTTTATTAGGTATGAATCTACTTAAAAAAGTGAGCAAAGAACGTTGTACAAATGTGTGTGTAAGGGCTGTCCAAATTGTAGCTATGGTAGCTCTATTGTTGGAAGCTCTCCCCCAAAGCTAAGGTAAATGCAACAGTGATGCGCCATACCTGTTACTCTACAGTTATATATGCTTTTAATAACTTCACCGTAAATTCTGGATGCACCACGGGCAAGACTTTGCATGAGGCTGAAGCCCCACATAAGGGGGCCATCGAGAGTCGCGGGGCCTCACATAAATGGCTCTGCAAATCCTCGCACCTGCCGCGAACCGAGCAAAAGTCCCGTCTGTGGCCAGCTTCGTACTGTGTTTAGCCAGGCAGCTGTGGTCCGGTATTGGCACTGAAAGTGTCTGGCCACTTTGCATCGAGTGGAGAGGGAATGAAGGAGGAGAAATAACTTGGCTCAGTTATGAATAGTGTTATATATTTGCTACTGTCTGAAATTGAATCTGATCTTCTCTATGGCAGTGAAAGCCGATACTTAATCTTTTCAGTTTATTTTCATTTAAAACAAATAACAGCGCAATTATCGATTCACATTTTGGACCGTCAATGTTGATGACAGACCAATCATTTTGGAATTTGAGGCTGTTCTCAATTTATAAGACTTATATATTTTTTGTTTTTGTTTTTGTTTTGTTGGGTTAGGCCCTTTCGGTCCAATGGGACCATTTCAGAGCCGGGAGGATGATAGGATATAGGGGGAGACATTGGTCTGGGCAGGCACCCTAGTGAGTCGCCGGGGCTGAGCCCGTCCAGAGGACAGGCCACCCAGCCCCAAGGCACTCACTGCACCCGGCTACGGGGTGCGCTCCCTCGGGGGCAGCGGTGCCGCTCCAAGGGAGCAGCCCGCATGAGATAAAGTTGCCTGTCCAGCCCGGAGGGGGTTGCGGCGTGGAGGAGAAGGATTTCAGTATCCTGAGGATAGAAGCATGGAACGGTGCTACTTAGATAGGTAACCTAGGCATTTCAACAAAAATAAAATGGACTTTGATTTAGAATAGACCGTCTACCTACTACGCTCAATCGCTACACTCATTGATTTAACCCGGCGGCCGCTGGGCCTCCGCGCCACCCGCCGGCCGCTGGGGGGGGGGGGCATATAGTTGCCCCCCCCTTTACTTCTGCGACGATATCGTCGCAACGCGAAGAGATAGAGAAGCGAAACTTTGCACACATCTTCCTGAATACCTAGCCGAGGTTGTGTCCAAATTTGGTGTTGATCCCATTTAAAATGACGTCACAGTGACGTCATAAGTGAAATTATAGATTTGCGACTCTCGTATTTCTCACGATACATCAGATATACGGGACCGAATATAAAGGACCGATTATTGGTCAGAAACTAGATGGAAGTGTAGTTAGATGTTTTAGGATGACAGCACGTGCTGTCTAGTTCATTTACAGTTGAGTTTCATGCTCAGCGTCATCAGACACGGTCTATATCGGAAAACGGCAAAACTTTATGACGTCACTGTGACGTCATCTTAGGTGCTACAACCACCAAACTTTCCTCAAACATTGCCTAGGTATTCATTTGAAGCTATGCCAAGTTTCACGTTCGTAGCTCATCAGGTTTCGGAGATATGTCACAAAACGTAAAGGGGGGGCATTTTTATGCCCCCCCCCAGCGGCTCGTGGGTTAATGATTCAAGCAGGAACAGCATCACCTGATACTTTAACCCTCGCCCGCACATGGGGGGGGGGGGTGGTTGCCACCCCCCCAGGTAGTCTTTCTGCTCTGCACTCAACATTTTTAGAGCTAGAAGGCTGATTTTTCGTATAGCTGCTCCTCTATCCTTTCTTGATGTTCACTGTAAATTTCAAGTTTCTGTGGTTTTTGGTTTCGGAGATATGACCTTGTTTTTCAGGTCATGTCATGACCCAAATGGCCAATTTTCAACATCTTGCGTTGGCTATGGGCCTTGTGAGCTTCTGACACCTTGATTTCGGGCTTTTTTGCCAGTCTTACCTCCCATCTATCATGGAACATGTTGTTCGACGATGTACAGATGTCAAGGTCAAGGTCAAGGTCAACCTAGGCCATCTAAGATAATTGCGTTTTAGGCAAGCGGAATTTACTTTTTGTGATTTTTTTTTTGACTGCATTTTTGGTAAAAGCTTCTCAGATCATGATTTCATGTAATATGGACACATAAACAATCGGTGCACACATCAGTATACACACAGACACACACACACATACAAACACATATAATTGACCTTGACCTAACTTGACCTGAAATGACCTCAGCAGCAAAAACCTGGTCGGGTAGTGTGACAAAGAGGTTCTAGCTGGCTTGGCACCAGAAAACGGCATCGTCATCGGTATATGATAAGCAGCGCACTTGATATCCAGCGGTGACCCAAAACAGCAACATTTTTTTAGTTTGACCTGACCTGGAAGGTCAATGACTGACCTGAGAAGGTAAAACTGGGTATCATTGGATTCGTCTCTTCCCAAAGAATCTTTTTGGTCCTCACCGCTAAGCTCTATCTCCAACAGGAACGAAATGGCGCGGGGGGGGGGGTGGCAACCCCCCCATGTGCGTTCTAGGATGGGAAAATGGCATGTGCGGGCGAGTGTTAAAGCTCGTTTGGCACTGCAGCTAATTTTGGTTAGCATAATGCTTTTATAAAACGATGCTATTCCTAGTCAAATAATGCCGATACCTTCCTTCATTTCAAACGATAGCAAACATAAATGGTTTCAGAATCGTTCATTTTATGCTTAAAACGTGTGTTCTGAACTGACCTTGAGGTAGGACACCGGAGGCAGCTCGCTCCTGACGCCGGCGGCCAGTGACGTCAGAGTCAGGAGGGTGGTCACACCCAGCGTCACGCTGCAAAGTGGACGAAATGAATAAAAAACGTCAACGCAGAACGCACCGTCATAAAACGTGGACGTATTTTTAAAAAGACAGTATGACAGTCGCTGAAATAAGTCAGGCGCTGTAAACGTTTACTAAATCCTGCGCGTATAGGGATATGGAAGATTTGGCAATCGACATAATTGTGAAGCGTAAATAAATCTCTCTCAAATCGAATGTTGCGTCAGCTAAAAGTAGTTATTTGTGGTGACTGAAGCTTTTAATGCAAAATCAACAAATAACACCTTATGCAGATATCCTATTTAGCCTTCTCGACTGAGTTTAATTCCGAAATGAGTAACACAAACAAGCGTACCTATATATTTCCAGATCAGACATGACGCTGACAAACAGGTATCTATTCTGGCTCGTCGCCAGTGAAAATAATAGAAAGTAAATAAAGCTCCCAGTGTGTTGTTCCGCGACACATCTGGCTGGCTGGCAGGACAACAGCGGAGCTACCGAGGCCTCCCACGGGGAGCTTCACTTTATCAGCAGGGCGGGTGGCATCTGGGCTCGGGCCCAACCTAAACTGATCCACCAGTTTCACAGCACCGCCTCCTAATCAGTCGGGGGAGGTTTGGTCAATCGTTGTCATTTTTAGCACATGCCATTTTTGGCAACCATGTGCTAAAAATGACAACGCTATCAGCTATTTTTAGCAACGATGAAGCCGATTTCACTCCTCAGCGAGGAAATCACGATTTTGGAAATACAAGCACTGATTTTGGAAAAGAAGTGCTGCCACCTGGTGCAAGAAGAAGAAACCAGCTTTAATATGGCCGTTGTTTGTATGGTAGTCCAACGTTGAAGTATACCCTTTTTTGTGGCCCGAAGTTGGAACTTTAAATTGAAGCATCCGAAAATGATCGATATTGATCGAAATCATGATGTTGATGAAAAAAATAATATGTTAAGTTGAGAGAGGAGGCCATTTTATCCAGATGCGGTGGTTTACTGCTTGAAATTATTTTTGCTTATGACGACTGCCATGTAATGAGGGATAATTAGCAGCCGTCATTAGCAAAAATAATTTCAAGAAGTAAACTACTGCATCTGGATAAAATAGCCTCCTCTCTCAACTTAAAATATTATTTTTTTCATCAACATCATGTTTTCGATCAATATCGATCATTTTCGGATGCTTCAATTTTAAGTTCCAACTTCAGGCCACAAAACAAACTACCATACAAATAACGGGCATATTAAAGCTGGCTTCTTCGTCTTGCACCAGGTGGCAGCAGTTCTTTTCCAAAATCAGTGTTTATCTTTCCAAAATCTTGATTTCCTCGCTGAGGAGTGAAATCGGCCTCATCGTTGTCAAAAATAGCAGAATCGTTGTCATTTTTAGCACGTGTGACAAAAATAGCACGTGCTAAAAATGACAACCATTGACCAAACCTCCCCCGACTGTAATAATAACACCCTTTGGTAATGACACTCATACGCTAAACAAGACGTACCAAGTCATCGACCAAGTCAAAATATTTTGTTAAATGCCGAACCCAGCTAGATCATAAGATAGTCCGTCTATTGAGCGCGACTGAACACCCTGTCAGTGCAGCTCGTACGTACTTGCCAGGGAGTGGGGACACTCGTCAGCCAGGCCCTATGCACTGCCCCTCAGTTCGTCAGCTGCCGGTGACTAACCAGTGTGGTTCCCTGCCACTCAGGCACGTGCAGCCTCCCCCCTCCCCCATGCAGTGACGGCAGTGAGCCTTATTTGTGACAGTGAGTAATGACAATTTGTCAGATGACTAACACCACATTAACTGTCAGCCGACTGTCAGCTGAGACATACAGACGGGCTCAAAGAGACGTTTAATTGCTTTGATGCCATTGTAACATAATTAAAAATAAATCAGTTGAGTTTGTCTGGCCGTGCTGTGACGTTACAGCTTGGGATTTAATTCGCTTTGAACATCATTCCAATATTTTTTTTTCGTTTTATGCATTGAATTTACATCATGTGCCACGCATTTTTTTTGCCTACCAGCTAATGCTTTCAAGCGTAAATTCAAATACTATGCTAACCATGTTTTTCCCACTCCTTTCCAGTACCATGGCAGTGTCGTCCAACTCTCACCATCTCTATCTCCTCGCTCCCCTCTCTCCCTTTTCAACCCATCCAAAGCCCACTTCCCGTCTAACGGCACCTGATACCGTAATCCTCCCTCCCTCTCCCCTCTGGCCCTCCCTCTCTCCGTCCTCACCGTGCCGGCGTGGCGGTCTGCTCCAGCCAGAAGGACACCCACGAGATCGCCACGATCATGATGGTGGGGATGTAGGTCTGCAGCAGGTGGTAGCCGTTCTCCCGGTTCAGTCGGAACCGAGCCGACAGCGCGCTGAACTGACCTGGGGGAGGGGAAGGGGTGCTGAGCTGACCACGGTGTGGGAAGGGGTACTGAACTGACCTTCAGAGGAAGGGGAAGCCACTGAGCTGTCCTGCAGGAGAGGGGTGAATGAGGGAGCTGTACTTACGTACAGTTCACCGCTGAAGTAATGTGGGGTTATACTGTAATCGAACAAAACCTAGCACCAATCATTAAAGGGACAGTATCACCATTTTGATGAAATTTGACATTGCATAGGCCCCACCTTTCTGGTCCGGGAACTGAAGACCGATCCTCGAAGCTCCACACCGTTATCCCGCTATCGCCGCTCAAAGTACGAAAGGTGTACCACACTTTGAATCGTGCTTCACTATCTTCACTGTTTAAATGTTTGCGCCGTTTTGAATTGACCGCCAGTAATAAAACTTTTACCCTGGTCATTTCATCAAATTTTATTAAGCCAAAACGTTTTTCGCACTTATTCATCACCGTTAAATTCATTAAATAGTCGTAGGCAATTTCCGCTGTTTCCTTCGGATTCTAGCGGCTCAACAAAGGAATTCCTCCAGCTTGAATCACAATCTCCCTCCAATGTATGACGTTTATCACGTGATTGTCACGTGATATTTTCTCCCATTGTCAATTGTCACGTCCAATTGTCACTCCCTCCAATTGTCACGTTATATTTTTATAGGCAATACCTAAGGCTACCTCTCCCTAAGGACAACTCAATCAGAAGAACGACCGCGTAAGCGTAGCGTCAATAATGTATTATCTGCGCCAGTTCTGTAGTAATTTTGCATGCTTCCAAACTGGCGGCCATGGGGTGAGACTAAATGCTTACTTCGAAATCTAAGCTGCGTTGCGGCATTGGCGGTTATGTGCGGCGTTTATGCCGCATGATTAGTAAGCGGCGACCACTAAATTAAAGACTCAATCGCTCCGACCGGTTTTCAATGAATAACACTGCATACCAAAAATGCCAACCGCTCTCGTCATAAGATATTTAGCTTTAGATAACTAGGTTATCTACATCATCATTTTGAACCAAATCAATACTTTCAACTTAACTCACTCAGGCGCGTAACCACCACTGGGGACACTGGGGACCGGTCCCCAGTAACTTGCGGGTTACTGGGGACCGTCCCCAGTAAAACCAACGACCTCCTCAATTTGCTTAAATAGCCAAATATTGTCTCTAAATCGACGTGAAGAGTAATATGTAGTCAACGGAAGACAAAACTATGGATGTTTGGTTTAGCCCGCGCCCAGAAGGGCCTCTCAGCCAGCTTCGCCATGGTGGGGGGCCTTTTTGGCCACACCAGATTATCTCGGAAAGTAAGCAAGCTAGAAAGACGCAGTAAAAAGCAACATATAGCTCCCTACAGGATCTTTTAGAATTATCTAGGACATTTTTTGATCAGGTCATCGCTGAGTTCACTGAAGGTCACCAAAGGTAAATTTTGTACGAACTTTTGTTCCCGATTTTGGCAACTTTTCACACATCGGCACATAAGTCGGGAACCAATAGAGCTGCAGTGCTACGGGAAATCGCATTCGATAGCTCTTTCAAAGGTATTTCTGAATAATGTGCTCAGATTTAACCTAATGTCAACGGTTTAGCCTCCAGAGGCAAAAACTATCAAAAGTTGGCGTTTTGCGGAAACGGTTTTTGTATCATAACTTTTGACTCCAAGCTTGTATGACGCTGATTTTACTGGCATCGCGTTTGTATCGTCGAGACGCGTCTAATGAACTACAAGTTGACCTGAAAAGGGCAAACTTGAAAATTTGACCTCAGGTCAAGGTCACGAAAAAGGTCATGTTGCATGGCATTCGATTCGTATTGCTGAGCTGAACACATTCATGGTGTTTTCAGCGCTCTTGCATGCTTCTACCTAAAGCTATGGTAAAAAAAAAAAAACTGTTGAAGGTACCGGGCTTCTCAAAAAAGTTAGACGGTTTTCTTTTGCGAATAGAGGACCCCTAACAACATTTAAGCAAAATCAATGCAAGTGGAAAAACGGAGAATTTTTCGTAGATTTATATCACACCATGGTTTGAGCTTAAAAAATGAAGCCGTGTTCTTAGGAAGTAAAAGCAAAAATCGTGAAATTATGCTTTCCCAGACTAAGTCGGTCGGTTCGACACCACGGAAGATCCGCAAACACTTAAGGGCAAAGAGAGCAACGTCTTGAAACAAAAATTTCCACATTATTGACAAGTTTCTGGCTCGAGGAAGTGTTAACAATAGGTTCACGCAATTCAAGGAACACAGCGGTGGCCATAAACCCAATCAAAGGCTCACGGCGAACACCACTCGTGTGAGAGATGCGCTACTCAGACTGTCAATGGTCAGCGATATCGGGGTGGCTCTGGCGACGTTTTGGAGGGTTCTGCAATATCAGGGTGAGCAGAGATCCGGAAACGCTTAAGATCCAATGGTTCCAGCAAGACGGTGCCACGCCAATACCGCTAAAGAAAACCGGGAGGGGCTGTGGGAGCGCTTCGGGCAGCGCGTGATCTCGAGGTTCGAGACACGCCCGTGGTCGGCGAATTCTACGAACGTAACCCCACCGGACTTCTTCCTATAGGACCAACTCAAGTCTTAGGTGTACCGAGACCACCCAAAAAGTTCCGAAGATCATAAGGATGCAGTGAAGTCAGCGGTGTGCCGTCTGCAGCTTTCTGTGGGTCGTGCTGCAGCAGAGGTCGCGCTGCGCCAGGCTAAACTGTGCATCGAGCAAAAAGGGAATCATCTCGAACATGACCTCGGCGCGGCTCAGAAAGGCGACTGCCGAGGATCGAAATCCTCTCAAACGAAATGTCTTTGATGAGGCTTTCAGGTGATACCCAATTATGTTTTGTTACACTGATACGCCCTTCAATACGTTAGTTATAAAATCGTCCAACTTTTTTGAGAAGCCCGGTATTTCATGACTTGAGATGACCTCAGAGACATAGGTAGAAGGAGTCACAGGTGCAATTTTCCGGTTCAGTGTGCCGTGTTTACCTGTTTCACGGTGTTTGAATGTGTTTTCGGCCAAAAGAAGAGCATTTCAATTTTCCCCCATTGACTTATAATGGAGAGGTCGCAAAATTGACCCGACATTAGGTCACCGATGTGACTTTGAGATATAAGAATTGTTCATACTGATTTCCTCATGCAAAAGGTCGAGTTTCAAACTTCTGGTATGTAAACTGTAGGCATGACAGAGTCACAAAGTTTTTAGAGGCTTACTTGACCTGGTGACCTGACGTTATGTGACCTGGGGTCAAAATTTTCACACACGGTGCGAAATTAAGGTATAAACTATACCAAGTGTCGCGGTGGTACGCGCCGCGGTTTTCCTTACACGCGCAAAAAAACTGGGTGTGTTCACCCCCCCCCCCCCCACAATCGGGCGAAGACTGATCCTGAAATATAATATTTGGTCTTCGCGGTCCTTCATGTGGTCCCCAGTAGCTTCAGACTCGTGGTTACGCGCCTGAACTCACTCATTCCTTCCTTTGTTGGCTCCAAACAGTCTTTCGATTGTCTGGAAATCGTATGCTAATCCCGTACCTGTATGCGACTAGTGCATATAAAGGCCGATATAAGAATTTGAATAGGCTCTGGCATGCGATTTCCTGGCTACCCAAAAAAGTATGTTTCAGTCTTGCTATCAAAACATGACCTCGCCCGCACAGGGGGGTGGGGGGTTGATGCAACCCCCTAAGGTTTTTCGCGAATAACTCGCTTAAAAAGCGGCTGATCGCGACGAAACTTTCAGTACCCTCGCATTGATCAATTTAACACCCACCCTGAAAATTTCATGACTCTGACCCAAATGACCTTTGACCTGTGACCTACTTTCCGAGACCATGTTTGGCCGGAATCGCGATTTAGCGTATGTCGGCTCGCGTTTGCAAGCTTTTCGTGGTTTCAAACGTTCAAACATGTGATTTGATGTTGCTCCCATGCATAAGGGTGGATGTCAAGGTCACCTGAAGGACAGGTCAGGTCATTGACCTTTGGTGACCTCGGTTCACTTTTTCGAGTTTTACATGTTTTTAGGCTAGTTTTTAGAGCTGATTTCGAATTTAGCAACCATTTGAAAATTTACGAAGTAGTTTTGGTGCATTCGTAACATGTTACGAAGCTGCAGAAGCGGTTGACACGTATTACGAATACCCATCACGACCCCTACCGGTTGACCTGACCTGACCTGACCCGATGCTGGTCTAAATGCTTAAAGACATCATCTACGATCAAAACTAACACGATATTCGTGATCAGCACCCCGGAAAAACCCATGGCAGCCACACTGCGACGTTCTAACAAGTCCCAATTTTCCCGCCTTTTGGGTCATTGACCTGACCTGGAAGGTCAACCGATGACCTAGGACCTTAAACTTGGGTATCATCGGCTTCCTCTCGTCACGGGCAACACGCTCGTTTTTTCCGCGAAGCTCTAGCTTGATCAGGAGCGAAACGGCAAGGGGTTATACCTTATACGTTCGCGGCTGGAAAAACGCCAATACGGGCGAGGGTCAAGTTGAAAGTATTAATTTGGTTCAAAACGATGATGTAGATAAGTTAGTTATTTAAATCTAAATATCCTATGACGAGAGCGATGGACATTTTTGGTACCTATGCAGTGTTATCCATTGAAAACAGGTCAAAGCTATTAAGTTTTTAATTTAGTGGTCGCCGCTTACTAATTATGCGGCATACACGCCGCACATAACCGCCAATGCCGCAACGCAGCTTAGATTTCGAAGTAAGCATTTAGTCTCACCCGCGGCCATGCTTGTATAGTGGTGGTTCGCTCATGAAAATGAATCATGAAAATGAAATGTGGTTGCAATATTTTTCACCGAGTTCGGTCCTCAAACTATGTTTTTCTGATTCAGAAAAATAAGAAATGCTAGTAAAAAAAAATCAGCTCCATACATGGATTTTTTTCGATGATACTGTCCCTTTAAGGTGAGGCCTATCATCAAAAGCGAGTATCGCACAGCTTCGTATTTCAGTTAGACAGCTTCCACTAAGCTGTCACAATTCTATCTATCATAATATGCCCGCTATCATCGAAAAACGGGAATATCCACTTCTTCGGGGCACCCCGGAGTCCCGTCTCTGTGACCGCCACTGAGCAGCGAGTTGTAAACCTACGCATTGCGTACTACGACGTAGTAAGGACAAGGAGACATTGCTGGACCCTCAAGTAGAGCGTAGCCATTGATAATCTGACAGCGGCGTCGACCGATAGGATCTCTCTCGACTTCCGAGAACGGTAGGGTCAGAGGTGGGGAGTGGTTGACCGCGGCCCGGGGCTACCGGCCAGCGCAGTGGGAGGGGCTTGGGTGGCGATAGGCTGACAGGGACACCAGCCGCAGGGCAAGTGAGCTTTGACCCCAGGTGCGCGGAGGGATCCTGCCCTTTTGGAACCGGAATAGCCGCCGAGCGCTTCACAACACGAGACCTCTGACTAGTGATGTAAATTTCTCAGAACTTAGCCCGCGCCGGGCCGGTGCTCCGCGACTTCCGCGCCGGGCCGGAGAGGGGGTGTCTGAACACCCCCCTTCTAACTCGGCTCATTGGGCCACGTAGCGACACGCGGTAAGCGGCATTCGAAAGAACGTCAAAAATAAAGATGAAAACACTTAGTCATTTTCTAGGTCAGGTCAAAGGTCAGGTCACCAGAGGTCACCTAAGGTAAAATGTTGGCTATTTCAACATTTTGGAAACTGCCAAGGGCTAACTCGGGAACCGATAGAGCTACAGCGCCGCGGAAAAACGCAATCGATAGCTCTTTTACAGGCCTTTCTGCAGAGTGCTCTCCGATTGGACCTTAGGTTAACGGTTTAGCCTCCAGAGGGCAAAAACTAAAAAAATAGACGCTTTTTACGAAAAGTGTTTTTCGGCAATAACTTTAATAAATGCTGAACTGACCTTGAGCGTTCGGGGTCATACGTTTTTACATGTGTAGAAAAATTGCATGAAAAAGTGTTATTTAATACCACCGCCAATTTATTTTATATTTTCAGAAAACCGCAAGGGAGTGTCCACCACGTTCGCCGGCCCGGTGTGGGTTAAGTATGGAAATACTTTTCGATACTTTGCAACTATACTCATAGAAAAGATGTATGTTAAGTTGTGGCCAAAACGTTAGCGCATAGCACCGCCGCTGCTTAGATAAAGATATTCGTGGAAAACACCAGTGCTTTCATCGAGGCGGCGTCGTTGTGACGCAGCAAAATGCGATATTGACACCGCTTCTCCGAGATGCACCGATAGCGCTGTAGCCTTCTCAAATAATTTGAACGACATACCCCTGTTGTTTGGCCACCATTTCGTTCCACCTCCCTAGAGACGAGTGGTGCGTATACGGCGGAGCAGTATGCCCGCCTGGCACAGGCTGCTCAGAGCCATGACGCTCCACCGACCCGGAGGCGTTTGGCGCGGCTGACCCCAGTGACCTCGCTTCGCGACCCGACTCTCGGTCACGCTACAACCGAGCGGCGCTAGCCTCGACGCAGGGGCACCTGGCTTCATTCATGCTTTCTACAAGAGCGGTGATTGGTTCGCTGCGGAGTCACGTAGTTGGGGCATCAGTGGCGTAATCAGGAATTTAGTTACCGATCTCCTCAACAGATGGCTCTGACCGACGATTTTTAAATACGGGTTGATCAAGAGGTAGATAACAAAAGATGAGTTTGCAGGTGCAAGGATGACGACACATGTAAGCTACATTCCAAGTTTCATGGTAGTCTGACACATAGTTCCTGAGATACGGATGCGAACTTAAGCCGCTACGTATACCCCACATTACTTCAGCGGTGACCTGTACATACATTCAGGGGCTGAGTAAGCTGACACTGGCTGTTGGGCGGTGTTTTGTCTGTGTTCGAGTGGAATAATAAACACTAACCCCGCGTTCGATGTCTCTCGGACGGCGAAGATTCTACGCCGTCCGGCCAATCACGTTTCAGAACCGCAGCCGAGCCCCCGCTGACCTTGGACGTTATTGGCCGGACGGCAAAGAATCTTTGCCGTCCGGGAGACATCGAACGCCGCCTAAATATCTAGCATGAACAGGGTAACTGTAAGGAACACATACATTTCACAAACAACACAGACAACCTGCTTTTGATGCCGTGCTGAACACCCCTGACAACGCCCGGAGCATATTTACCGCAACCCGTCAATATGTTTGCTATTTAGTATGCATATGAGCGGGCTTTCGGATCAGCTAAGGGCTGTCACCTGGAGGAAACATACTGCCAGTCATCTATGTTGTACATGATTCTCTGCATAAATTCCGTATATATTATGCATGAATGCCTACCAAACCGTGTACATAATGCATGTATATACGAGTCACAACCATGTAGCTCGCACATATAAGTGCACCAGGTGACCTAAAAGCCCTGTTCATGACTGAAAATTCGGCATTTGGCACCTAATTTATTGCAGTTGAAAGCAAAGAAGCAAAACAATCGACATTTCATTCGAAAGGTGTAAAATCTACTAGCCAACAACTACTATCTTTCACGTACCAAACGGATCAAATGTATCAGCATAGGTGCCCAATGTAGCATCGTGAAATGGGCTACTGGCTACCACTTTTCACCGCACCGATCCAGCCCATCGGTGCTGCGTTCATGGAGCCATGAAGTGCCGCTATCACGCCGTTTGCAGTCCTTCCTGCCTTACAGTTTCACTCACCTGTGCTGTAGTTCAGCACTTTGGGATTGTCTAAGATGATCTCTTCCAGGTTGAACTGCGGTATCTCCATATTCATAGTCCTCTCAATCGGATTGGGCTCCTTCCAATAAAACTCCAGGGCTGATATTGGGTGCGCAACTGGAAAACAGATCAAATAGCTGAGCACTGGAAATTGGAATTTGCTAAGAAGCAGGGGTGTCGTTTTCCGAAAATGATTGGTAGTGCCCAAAGGCGGCGGCTGGCCATATATGACGGGGCTTACAAGGTAGGGTACCCCCAAATCTGCCTTTCTCATCGGATTTCGGCCACTTATTTTTCGCCCTGGTCATTGACAAGACTAACCGAAATCTAAAAAAACACAAAAAAAAACTTTGGAAATCTGGGTCCACACCGGACGCCATGCACAAAACGTGCAGTTATATAGGCAATAGTGTCGGAGGAATGCACGCCATTCTGAAAGAGGCCCACATCGACTTAAAAGGACGGCTGTGCTGAAAGGGGACAGGAACAGCTTTGAGGGCCCAAGCCGACTAAAAAAGACGGCTGCGGGGCCAGGAACGGTTTTGAAGACCCACGCCAATTGAAGGGTTCGACAACTAACGAGGACTGGAAACACAACGATAGTTAGAAAGACCTGCTTGCCAAAATAAAAGGATGACAGTACGAGGGGCGTTCAGAAAGCTACGGGCCCGACCATGAAGGAGCAGAGAGATACAGCATCGACTCATTAGACCAAAAAGTTCATTTATTCAAATAAACACCGTTAAGACAAACACATTTCGCGCAGCGCTTCGCGAGAGCCCTCAAGGCCTCCATAACCAAGTGGGTTTTGGACCCATCCTGCACGTCCAAGACGGCTGATTTCGTCTCCCTGCTGTTAGCGAGGTTGCCGCTGCTAATTTTCTTATGTTGGAGAAGAGGTGGCAACCACTAACCAGAGTGTGCAAGGTTCGGAGAGAAAAAGTGGATGCGACAACAACTCGAAGCTCATCGCTTCACTGTTCGTCATCCCGCCCATGTACGCAGGTGCGTGGTCGCGGATCAGGTGCACACTTTACGTCAGCTTCCCTATAGCCTCTCCTCGATGTTCGATGTTTATCGAATGGACGCACATCATCAATTGTGTGCCCCTGTTTTGGAAAGTTGACGAGCGGAGGGGGGTCGCATCGACCCCTCCCCCTGCCAGGCCGTGTTATGAAAAATGCCCAGGGCGAGGGTTAACGCTTGGTGCCTTTTCTGCACTAACTACTATGAAACGAATCACTGCTCTCTTCTGGGCGTCGCCCATCCTATCCGAAATGGCGAACTATGCTACGAATAGAAGCCCGAATCTATCACAGAAGAGACTTAATTAATGGCTACTTACTTAATTTGCGTAAGTGGACATCCCAATAACACATCATTTAACACACCGCCTTGCAGGCCAAAATTCCAACTCCTTCATTGTTCGGCCCGAAACTTTTTGAACGCCCCTCGTAGTTACGAGCTTCAGTTTTCGGGGTCTGATGCGGTAATGACCTGGCGTTGAACCCTGGGGAATCAGGCTGCATCACCCACTCAAATCAATATACCTATGGCCTATTCTGGAGCACTGCGGCACCTTCCGAAGTCGGTGTAGGGCCTCCAGCGGCTGGTGTGGAGACGGATCGGGGTCTATTAGGGGCGGTCGCGTGGTATGCGGGACTCAGAGGCAGTTATGGACCTCTATAACCAATTGCGTTTTCGAGCCTCTTAAAATCCATTAAGGACCGGAGTCCTAGACACGTGAAACCTCATTGTCAGCTACATGCACCTACTGTGGCTAGAGCCTTATTTATGTACTTGCATATGTGCTTATTTAATATTTGCTTATCTGTTTATTTTGATTTTTTATCAACTGATAAGTGACAAAAGATTGGAAGGGCTCAGCGAACATTGGTAGGGCCCAAATAAACATTGGTAAGGCTCGGGCCCTACTAGGCCTATACAAAACGACGCCCCTGACTTTTGTGAAACTTGGTAGGTATGTAGGTAGGTAGGTAGGTACCACATAACTTGAAATTACTTGACGTAATGACATGATGTGGAAAGTGAAAATGATACCTAGGTATTGATGGAAATTTATGGACTTAGGTACGCTACAAGAAGATTGAATTGGTCAACCAATTCAAATTCAAATTCAATCTACTTGTGGAGTAAGTCTATAGATTTTCATCAATAGTTACCACTTACCATTGAAGTTACTTGCTATCATGTTGATTTTATACATAAGAACCTCATTCATTTTATTTGTATGACATGTTTGAATGCAATTTTCTCAATAAGTGAAGAAAAATGTTGGTAGTGCTCAACAATACATTGGTAGTGCTCAGCTGAACATTGGTAGTGCTCGGGCACTCCCAGGCCTATACAAAACGACGCCCCTGCTAAGAAGGTACACACTCTGACACCTCCACGCATCCATACCTACATCAATATGGCCCTTACATACATTCCGCCCTTGGGGTGACCTGGCTCACCTCCAGGGGAAGAGCAGAGGCTGAGGGACACGCTGCTGATCTTATTCGTCATATACCTATGTTAAAATGTCAATCGTTTGAAATAAGGCTACTAGTTTATAATTATCAACTATTGCTTTTGTTTGTCAGCATTATTGCACATTCACACTAGTTTATAGGCCAGTGTTGGTGCGGCAAGGCGACTGTCGACTTAATAACGCAAATTCCTTTTGGACATGCCACAATCTAGGATAATCTTCTGTAAGTGACATTTAAACACGATCAACATCAAAATGCTCTTTGTACACTGCAGTTTCATTGAAAAGAAAACATGCACGTTTAGTTACAAAGACATCTCTCATGCGGGCAGGGTGAATAATTTCTGGTCAACGATGCTGTTTAGTCACTAAAACCCATTGCAAGCGAATAAAAGAGTTATGTATATCATATGAAGGCATATGAACTTTGTTTGTTTGTTTGTTTGTTTGTTTGTTTGTTTGTTTGTTTGTTTGCTTGATTGTTTGTTCACATATTTTTTAAGCGACGCGTCTTTAAAATAAGGTAATCTTTAACACGCGCAGTGGAAGGGGGGGGGGGGCGGATTCCGCCCACCCCTCCTGTTTTTCGCCAATAACTCGCGCCGCAAACATAATGTTAATGTGAAGTTTTGGCTACCTGTCCAGAATTGAACTGCGGATTTTCTCATGCAAGAAATAAGAAAATCGGGTCACAACTTTTCTAGTAATAGCGGTGTAAAGTCAAACATCCTGTCGCCGCGGCGGCGCGGCGGCGCGGCGGCCGGCGCTACCCGTTACGCGCCGCCTGAATTGTAGATTGTGCCGGGGCGGGACGGTTCCGTCTTTACATCGCGCTCCTTACCGCTGATTATATTTGATTAGCGTCAAACTTTGTGAGAAGACTAAGAAATGTACAGGCAATCTCATGGTCAAAGAATTTTGAGAATCAGCCGGTAACAACTTGAGTTATGAGTGTGTAAACACAAAATTGTGATTGCCGCGTTTCCCGCGTCGGCCGATCCCGCTTCAGCCGGCGACATCTTACCCTTAGCAGGCTTCTAGCTGCCATATTTATTGTTGGATTAACTAGAAATTCGTCATACATACTCACAAATGTATGCTCTTTCGTATAGTGAAAGAAAAAAGAAAATTGGCCGGTAACTTTTTGCGTTATCGGCGTGTAAACGCAAAAAAGTCGCTCATATGGCAGATTTGACCACATTTGACCTCATTTGACCTTGAAGATATTGACCTAGGGTCATGAAATTCACACACAACAAAGTTCCCCAGAGCCTTCACCTACCCTCCAAATTTCGTCTTTCTAGCTCCAGTGGGAGCTGAGACTCCAGTGGGAGCTGAGATCTTAGGGGGGGGGGGGCGACATCCGCCCCCCCCCCTTCCACAGGGCGTAGTACTCGCAACCCTTCCACTGCGCGTGTTAATAAGGTTATACCTATCACACGTAACGCGTTTTATAAAATGCACGAAACGGGTAACCATTCATGTGAAACTTCAGCTTTGATCGGCGGCATTGCCCCACCAAAAATATATCTTCTGTAATTATCTATATTATCTATAGCGATAATATGCACTTACAAAATAGCCTAGCTTACCTCTTAAATTAGCCCTGATCCATATGCATATGTACTTACCTAAGCCATTAGTCAAGATGTAATGAAACCAGGATGGCAACTAGGAAGCAGGCAGTGCCACTAAAAGCGTCCTTGGCAGCGGCCAGTGACCCACTCGGCTACTCCCGTTCTGTCGTGCAGAGCTGTGCAGAGCGCTGTGACGGCCCTGAGCAGAGGCGTGCACCGTCCCGGCCGTGCTCTCCCCTCCCTCTCTCGCTCTGCTCATACCTCGGCCGGGTTCCAAGCGGCGGCGCCGGCCGACCAGCGCGGCGCCTGGCGCCGGACAGACGCGGCATGCACTGACCGCGGCACACCTGCAGCGCACTGGCAGACCAGATCGGGCCGCTGCGTGCTGGACCAGCCCGCACTGTGCCAGGTCGGAGCGCACAGCTACGTGCTGGACTGCAGTCTGCACTGCTCCAACGAGGTCACAGTTGCGGCATGGACTGTAACGCGCCGCTGAGGATGGTGGGAGAACAGAGCGGCCAAGAGAAGACAGCGGTTGAGAGGAATATCGAGAGGAATACCGAGAAAAAACTGAGTGCCTGAAGGGAATACCGGGAGAACGGAGCGGCCCAGAGAAACAATGGGAGAACAGACCGATCGAGAGAAATGGTGGGAGAACAGAGCTGTCGAGAGAAATGGTGGGAGAACAGACCGATCGAGAGAAATGGTGGGAGAACAGAGCTGTCGAGAGAAATGCCGGAGAACAAAGCAGCAGCGGCGCCAGCAGTGGAGCAGTGGACCCTTGTGGTGGTGATGTTGTGTGTGTGTGTGTGTATGTGTGTATGTGTGTGTTTTCATGTCATCTTTTATATTATCTCGTTTTATGTCCCACCTTTTTATTCACAAGACGTGTAACTTTTAAACAGCCACTGTAAAGTGAAAAGTTGCTAAATACATGAATTGAATTGAATTCAACTGGATGCACATAAGTCGTTATCGGACCACAACAGCCACCTCCAATGGGTCACTAAGCCACCGACGCCACATAGGACACAGGGCCTCCAATCCTGGTGGATACGTAACTACTGAGGTCACTGACCATCATGGATCTACGAGATAGGCCAGTACCTATATAGGTTCATATGCTCGTATACGTCCTGCCGCACTAGCTCAGAAGCTCTTCAGGCCGGCCCGAGAGGCAAGAATTGCTCAGAGAAGAGCGTCTTTCTGAGCATCACGTTACCACCTGGCACAAAAACGGCGGCTTGCACTGGTGGTGAAACCATAGATAGAAATAATCGAAAAAGTCTTCAATGCATACAGTTTGAATTACACCATCACCATCAATTTTCCAGAAGAGTGTGGAGCATGACAATAACAAACACGACATGCAAGACAAAACCAACTCACTTGCATCATCGCTGGCTTCCCTTCGTGCCACCCTTTTGGTAATCACCGGACCATTGTAATATTAAGCCAAAACTTCACGACAGTGGTGAAGCGTCAAAACAGCTTGTTTCACAGTTATCCAAGCGTCTAATACCTTCCACTGGCTTCTCGGAATGTGCCGGTACACGGTCGCGCGGGTCGCTGACAGCCATCTGTTTCGATCAGCAACACACGACACATACCGTGGCGCGAATCCAAAGAAAGACGAATCCCAACACTTCTCCGCCAATCGCAAATTGACACAAAATCCAATTTCCTCTCAGCTGAGCTATTGTGCCAAGATACTCGGAGATTTGCTCGAGTTGTACAAGGTACGCGATGCAATATGATCCAGTTTTAAATTGATAGTGTTGAAGCGCTTGACTTCAGCGAAAATTTCGGGGGCAGTTTGGAGACAAAGACACTTATCAGGAGCAAAGGGCTCCGAATGGACATTAGCTAAGGGCGTAAGTGCTTAAAATTAAGTGCATCTAATAAAAACGTACCCATTAGAGGTGGCAAAACATGAAAATTTTGGGAACCAGACTCGAACCAGACCCGGCTGGACATTTCTGGAACCAGTCGGACCCGGTCTTAGTTGGAATCGGAACCATTTGGACCCGTTCCCCAAAAGTCAATTAATACAAACTATTTGTACTTGTCATTAGTTGCATCATGTAAAACAGCCTATTTCCCACTGGGAATACTCATAAGCTACTGTATGCAAAGAAACATTCACTTCATTCACTTCATATTTTGCAATAATGTGTACTGTGCAAGATGTAAAGTTTATGGTAGGACCCGATTGGACCCGTCATAAAATTTCCAGGAACCGGTCTGGACCCATATGGGTCCAGACTGGTTCTTTGGACCGGGTCCTCGGGTCCACATTTTGCCACCTCTAGTACCCATCCGTTGTTAAAAAGTAGGAAACAATATGAAAGATGACAATTTGCTTGGTAAGCACAAAAACACTAAAGCAAAATAACACAAGCATTAGGTAATAAGGTATAACTACATAATAAAAAACAGCGCTAGCGTGCATACACGATAAGCACAATACAAATCATACGCAGGCGATGCAATTTACATGCAATTGTTTGTTCAAAACTTACAAGTGGCAAGCTCTATGTGGCAGGTCTGTGTGTCCAAAGGATATTTGTTGAGATCCATCTGGCAAGAGAGGGTCAGCTGCAATCTGGAAAGCAGTGCCGAATCCAATGAGACATCGCATGATGCATAAGAAGACATCGCAGTGTCTTCTGCGATGTCTTCTACAATGAGACATCCAATGAGACATCGCAGAGAGGGTCAGCTGTATAAGTAATTTCAGAAAAATAAAGGTGGCATGATTTGTAGCTTCGTCTAGTTGGTATCGATCGAACAACTTTATACCTGAATCCTTTGCTCAGCATCTCCCTTACTCACAAATGATTCCAAGAAAGCCTTTAAACATTAAGGAAAATCATCACCTATGTTCAGATCAACAATGCATTAGCTAGCAATGTACCATGCTGTACTATACCGTGCCTTACAGCCAATAAAGTTACTGTGCCGCTCTAACTCCAAAGGAGAGGAGGGGTTAGCCCGAACTGCGGTGTATCATACGTGGTCACGGCAGACATCTCCGCTCACCGGATGCTGTAGAAGACCCTTCCGTCCGCATAAATCCGCATCAACACGTTTGGTGATGTCACATCATGGTACTTTGCATCCTGCCAGACAAAATAGCGTACATTTTAGCCCTTCATGACTCTACATCTACAACAATATCGGACAACACAAGGTGTGAAGGCGCTCTTTCTCACTAAAGTAGGTAAGTGTTTTTTTCAAGTGCAATGGCAGTTGATTGCATTATGCAGCTACAGGAGTGAATTTTGTCAGTTGACACAGAACTTGCTGCGAACAAGGAAGCTGATGAAAGGTCGAGTGTCAGCCTGAATAAACACGAGTCGGCACTTCGGTTGTTACAAAAACCGTCATCAAGCTGGAATTTAAGAGCAGTGGAGTGGCCTCCAGCAGTTAAGTGATGCCTAATTGGTAATTATTTAACGTCCTGGACGATAGCAGAGACTGGAGAGGTACTGACACCGGAAAGTTAACATGATCGATTTTATCAAGTTCCTAAAACAGGAGTGTAGAAAAGGCTTGCCTCAAGGAAGAATCAGATCAGACCTTGCATTACGGTAGAGTTAACTATTTGTCATAACAAAGATAACGTGCTGTTGCGGCTGGTCCATGGCAATACGCGGATAAATACCTAACTATCAGCTACGACAGTCAACATTACATATCTATGGACGCCTCTCGCTTGCGCTTTTCTCTGCTACTGACACAATGCCCTTCATTCGTCATATGATGAACCTCCGTGGGCTTATCTTTCGCCTTCGTCCCATTGTCCCAATGGCTCAAGCCTCAAAAGGCTCTGAAGCAGACACATCAACTATCAAGCACCATTTTTCCGAGGCGCAATGCTTACCCTGAGGTCTACTGAATAAGACTGCTTGGAACCCTGTCTGAGCAATTGTGGGGACCGGAGAACTGGGGTGAAGATCGATGTGCACAGGTGACGAGCGTCGTTGACATTTACGCCTACTTTACGGGTTTGGACGCTGCAAAAGTCATAACACACGCTCGTGCTCAACGCATGACGACTGCGCCGGCTCTGCCCTGGACGGTAGACTGTGCCGTCAAACTCTAGTGTACGGCGGGACAGTCTAACCAGCCAGCGTCGCACTCGAGCAGGCGGACTGGGCGGATTGAATTCAGTTCGGTTACTGTGATCGGAAACCATGCTATACAAGGATGATATCCTCTTTTCATTGATTGCCAATATATTTAGATTCCGGAGCAGGCTATAGCTTGATAAAAAGGCAGTCTAGACAGTACGGTACTAAACCCAAAGAACGATTACCAGCGGGCTGGAGTCGTCCTCATCTGCAGTGGTGAAATGAGAGCAGACCCCGGTGGGCAGCGCGTCTGGGATGGGTTGCTATTGTGACTCCGGCGGTCAGCGCAGCTCTCTGGCTGTTACCCACAAACACACCTGCAGACCGCCTCACAGGGCAGCACCGAGTGCTCGCCGGCCACCCACCTTGACGTTGAGGAAGTAGATGTCCGGCGTCCACAGCCTGTCGATGACGCTGCGCCTGCTGACCAGAAGCAGCTGCCGGGTGTCCGAGGCAGACCGGAGCCGGTCGTCCTGCCACGACTGCCGCAGGTAGATGTCCAGGTGGTAGTCCTGCAGCACGCAGACACAGAACAGCAGGTGACCGATTCAAGGAAGCTGACAAGGGCGAGAGCTCATGGTATTTACATAATTATGGTGCACAGTGCACATGCTCAATTCAGAGACGAAGTTACTATTATGAGTCTGTCGCATCGGCAACTGCAAGAGCAAATGTGCATAGCTTGACTTAAAAGGGCTTCAGCTCTTTTCGTAGGCTGCTTGTTATAGTGTTCGGAACACGCATTCTCGGGTTAACACCACGGCTCAGTTAACTAATGTATTGATCTGTGCACATTACACGGTCCAACCCAGTCTGCCCATCAGGCCGGACCAACTGTCCGCCAGCTCACCCCTGAGCTCCCCCGGTGAGCCAGCCGCTCACCCCCGAGGTCCACCCGCCGAGCCACCCGCTCAGCGACTGCCGCCGCCGGCGATGCGTCGCCTTATATAGGGGGGCTGGGCGCCCGCCGACCAATCAGCGGCCGCCGCGTCACCTACGTCACTGGCCGGCCGAGACTGCAGGCTGCAGCGTCGGCGCACGCTGCCGGCGGCCGATACGAACGGCCGCCGCTCCCCAACACACACCCCCCCTACACAAGAGAAGTGTACAACCGCTCACATTTCACAAGCATGTACGACACTTTACAACATAGCCCACAGTACATCACAACATTACCTGCGCACATAAACTACAAGGAAACACACGTTCTCGAGCGCTCGGCAAACTGACTAACACAAGCGACCCCTCACAACGATCGAGTCCACAACGCACTTTGGTTCCAGCAATACACACAGCTCACGAGCCCCCAGTCTCATATTGTGCAGAGGGGTGGCTGAGCCGCCCGTACCGCGCTCGGCACGGAGCGGGCGGACCGACTGGGTGATGCCGCGCGCACCACACGGCTGTCAGCGGTTTCACTTTGTCACCGGCTACGCGCTCGCCGGGTTGTGTGACCGGTCTGGTCCTTGTTGGGGCCTTTGGCGATGTAGCGGGCTTGTCCCGCCTCTGGCAGAAGGCGCACGTCCTGCAGAAATCCCTGATGTCTTTATACATCCCGGGCCACACGAAGTTCCGTTTCACCCTGAGCGTGGTGCGGCGATGGCCCGTGTGCCCGCCCGTCGGTGGCTCATGTGCCAGCTGCATCACGTGGGTGCGCAGGGAAGGTGGCACTGATGCCCTGCGCCCACTCGCCGTGGCAATGCCGACGAGGTCGTCGACTACCTGCGCATACTGAGCTTCTGTCCCCACGGCCATGCTACACTCTTCCGGCATCGATATCTCTGAGGGCGTCTGATGGCTGAGGTCCTGTCGGGCGTGATTGCGCGGCGGGCTCTCGTCTTTGGCCCTCTGCCTGTTGCTCTGCTCCACTGGACTGGTGTCGCCTGCTTCTCCGTCGACACCTGGGCGGCTGACGGCGCGTACTTCTCTGCCCGCCACCTCATCAGCCGAGTTGACCTCGCCGCTGGCCTGGGCGGTCTGCCGGTCAGGTTGGCCCGCGATGTCGATGCTGGGCGACCCGCCCTTGCAGCGGCTCGCGCTCTCCGTCTCCGACTCGTTTGAGGTCACCGTGTCCTCGACGCAGCCACTGCTGGGCTGCCCGCCCCCGCAACGGCTCGTCCCGGACCCGTCGGGCTCGACCGGGCCCACGCATGAGGCCACTGGGGTCGGCCATTGTCGCCTTCGGTCGAGTCCTGCTAGTGCTGACTTGAAGACGGCCCGAGCGGTACAAGTCACGAGGGCCGCTGCCCGCGCGCAAACCTGTGAGCAGCACCTCACCAAACCGGAGCTCGCGGTCCCCGACTGCTCGTGATGCCCGATCTCATTGAGCGGGGGTTGGGACGTTGGCGGAGCCTCGCTGCCCGCCGGCTCTGATCGTACCGTGCACACGAACGACGGTGTGGTTCCCGGGGGCTGGCGTGACATGACCTCGGCGTTCCCGCGGGCGTGACCGCAGATGTGGGGGCACCCTTCCCACTGTCGTGTGGCGCTACTACCCCCCGTGTGTGTGGGCTGCCCCGCGGTGGGTGGACCGCAGAGTGCAGGTGGGTCAGCCACCCTCCGCTGCCACTCACGGCCGCACTCCGCTGCCGGTGTGTCCCCCCGCTGCCAGTGACCCGCGTGCGCTGTGGGGCCCCCCATTGTCGGGCTGGCAGGCATGCCCACGGCCGCAGTCGCCGGGGCAGGCGGGCGTCCCGCCCATCGCTGACCCCCACGGCTGCACCCGCGACAGAAAGGCGTCCATCCGCCGGCCTCCTCAGACGGACCACGGGGGCACTCCGCCCACTCCAGGCCCGCCTGCTGATGACCGCGTGGGAAGGACCACCCCGCCTGCTCATTAGCATGTGCTTGCCGCGCTGGACAGTCGCGGACCAGGTGGTCAGGGCTATTACAAAGAAAACAACGGCGCCCAGTACCCCGCCTGTTTGGGTTCGGTGGCCCTCGTTGGGAGTTCCTCGCCCCTGTCCCGTGCCCCGTGCGGTAGGCGTCCCGCCTTCCCGCCGTCTCAAGAGCCTGCAGTGCGCGCTGCAGCTCCCCAATCATCCTCTCCAGGGCGTCTAGCCGCGCAGTGCCGGGTGCGCCTCGGTCGTGAACCGCCAAAGCCTCGCCCTCGCTGGGCGGGCGCATTGCTCGGAGTGCGTCCTGCTGCTGTCGAAATTTATCGGCGACCTTCACGGCTTCGATGAGGCTGGCCGGGTCCTTCGTCAGCACCCGCACCCGCAGCTGCTCCTCACGGAGGCCGCATATGAAGCGGCTGACGACGGTCGCTTCCACGGACGGGTCGCCGGCTCTCGCCCCTGGGTAGGCCTCCCGGCCTGCCTGGCGCACCCTGTCGGCGAAATCGCGTGTCGCCTCACCGGGCTGCTGTCGGATGCTCGCTAGTTCAGCGTGCGCCTGCATCGCGTTCTTTGCTGTGCCGAAGCGGGCTTCCAACGCGGCCACCGTTTGCTGCAGGTTGCCTTGAGCATCCTCCGACAGCGAGGCGAAATAGTCCAGGGCGCCATCTTGCAGCAGGCTGACCAGGCCCTGCAGCCGATTCTCTTCTGAGAACGCGATCGTTTTCGCCCGAAACCGTCGGTACCATCGACCCCATGATTGATCATTTACCCCCGTGAAATTTTCAAAGTTAGCTAAAAGTAAAATTTCTCTTTCCATGTTACGTTACTCTACTGAGCCGATTCCAAATAAAATAGAAATGAAAATTTGCTTTAAATGGTGTAACCCAACGAATGCGTGTCCGCTAGTGTCCGAACCGTCCTACCGACCGCGCCAGTTGTTCGGAACACGCATTCTCGGGTTAACACCACGGCTCAGTTAACTAATGTATTGATCTGTGCACATTACACGGTCCAACCCAGTCTGCCCATCAGGCCGGACCAACTGTCCGCCAGCTCACCCCTGAGCTCCCCCGGTGAGCCAGCCGCTCACCCCCGAGGTCCACCCGCCGAGCCACCCGCTCAGCGACTGCCGCCGCCGGCGATGCGTCGCCTTATATAGGGGGGCTGGGCGCCCGCCGACCAATCAGCGGCCGCCGCGTCACCTACGTCACTGGCCGGCCGAGACTGCAGGCTGCAGCGTCGGCGCACGCTGCCGGCGGCCGATACGAACGGCCGCCGCTCCCCAACAATAGGCCACTTTCTTGAACTAGTTTGTAATATGACATTGTTTCGCGTGAGTTATTCCAAATGATGGAAAATAGTTCAAGTGCCAGGCTCGACGCTTATGTCCGCAGTGCTGAGTTTCTCATAGTTCATCAGTTTTACAAGGCGCACTGAGGAAACTCATTATACCGTTTGTCCACTCATTACTGACACCAGCGAACAAAATGGCCACACCAATCGACAGTACAGTGGTCGATAAAACTTCCAACGTTCCAACGCTCGTTGAAGCAAGATATTAGCAATACTTGGAAGAACTGGAGACAGTCCGCCCGTCTACATGGATGCTTCCTTACGCCTAAAATACAGCATTGACTTATGACTTTCTAATCGTCCGGTGCTGTTATCGGCTGCTCGGTACCGCGTGTATGTTCCCTCATTCACTCCTGGTCACCCTTCGGTTACCCCTCGCTGGGTCGGGCCAGTCGGCTATTTTTATCCTCTTTCCGGCTAGGCCACCCGCTAAGCTCCCGCCGTGCCGCGCCGTCTGCGAGGGACCTGACCCTTCTGCCGGCAGAGGTTTCTCCAGGTGTCTCCAAGGAGCCATCGTAGCGCTAAGGGTGTGCTCCGCATATACATGCATTGATTTTCGCCCTTACTAGCAGGGCCGCTGGCACGCGTTGGCAGCGCCCCGCGGGCATTTTTCGCTTAGGGTCATTTTGTGGTAAGGAGGATCAGAAAATCGCCCTTCCAACTTTCTCCAGGCCTGGGTGTTTTATCGAGCGCGCCTGAAAACGCACAGTGGACCGGAATCACACTTCGATTGCGTTACTTCGTATAAGGTAATACGATCAAAAGTGCGCTCTTTCCTCAATTAATAAGGACAAGTGCGTTAAAACACACTTATAAAGTTTTAAGTTAAAAGCTTTAAAATGCTAAATTTCAACATTTCTACGCTGATGATAATCGTTAGTTGTTTCAGACTTTGGCATGAAAACGTAGGCATTCAGATCCACCGTGTGACCGGTCACCGTATGCAGTAGTGTGATGGTGTGAGTTGGGGACGGGGAGTCAAGGCCGTGTGGGGAGAAGGTCAGGAGATGCCGGTGTGCCGACGCGGCAATTGGCAGTGATTAGACAGTTGTGCGTGCATGCATTGTTCATCTAGCATATCATTTGCTTGGGCGAATTTATAGGCATGGCGCCTGTTTATCCGTCTAATTCAAAGGAAAGGTGTGAGTACCAACACTGGTCGTACTTTTCATAGTCATAGTCCAGGTCCTGAAATGACTGGCACCTGAAATTTTCAGGATATATCGCAAGAGGCTCATTCCCAGACGTGCCAAATTTTGCGGCGCTACGCGACACCACCTTTTACGCTATTCGCGAAAAAAAAACTTAGGGAGGCTGCATCCCCCCTCCCGCCAGGCGAGGGCTAAGTTGGAGACAGTGATGGGACTAAGATGTTCGTTGGAGCAACTCCAAGCATTTTATCGACCTCTGCGACAGTAGCTTCGGACATGCAAGACTGTAAAGTCGACGCTAGGTTCATACTCGCTCAAATATTTCTTTGAAGTGCGGTGAACTGTGTATGGATTGTAGAGGTCTTTGAAGTGAAAAGCAAACATTGAAATTGGTACATGTTTGTGCTGAGTGTAATCTCTTATTTACAAAAGATCATACGGCATTTGCAGGAACACCTAACTCTATACTACAAGCCAATGTTCTCGTATTAATGATTGATTGTAATCGTGTGACAACTGCAATTATTATAAAAGTGATAATAAAATTAGGTTCGTGTACAGCTACGTTTTGAATACCAGAGTCGAAAAAGGTTTCAAATGAATACATTTCTGCTTGCGCCGTCTACAAAATAGAAGACACATGTTCTCCAGATTAATGAAACGTTTCGTAACTCCTTCATGCACAGAGTTTCAACATAAAAATTACCACACCTCAGTTCGAGCCTCCGAAAATTACAAGTGAAGGATACCAAGTATGCCATCATTATGGAATACACGCCACCAAAACACAACACACATGCTTACCGAGGATATCTACATAGTGCTATTGCACACGAGAAACCAGAGAGCGCCAAAAAACACAACATGGTATCCTCGTTTGAACTCACTAGACCGATTTTATGACGACCATTTTACATCTCAATGAACAGCATCACTGTTGTTATAGCAGCTTTGCTACCTACAGTCAGGCGTGTATTTGAACGACCTACGTAAATGCACCGGCAGAGCCCTGGGCAGGCTGGCGGTGAGTGACCCGCTGGTGTCCAGTTTCCAGAGGATTAACCCTCGCCCATGTAGGGGGGGGGGGGTTGGTGCAACCCCCCCCCCTGAGGTTTTTCGGAAATAGTGTAAAAACGGCGGCGCGCAGCGCCGCCAAATTTTGGGTACCTTATGGGGCAAACCTTGCGCATCGTTTGATAAAAAAAAATTGACCGGGTCATGTCAGGTCACGGAGTTATGACGTCACAAAGGGAACAGCCTCCGGCCGGATTTTCACAAACTGAGTGCCAACGCCCGAGGTTTCCTGCCGGTGGTACGGACATCGGTTGATGGATCGTGATGAAACTTCCCATGCATATTGGGGCAAGTATTGGCTATCATATGGTATAAGAAACTTGACCGGGTCAGGTCAGGTCACGGAGCTGTGACGTCACAAGAGGAACAGCGTCCGGTACTATTTTTGAAAAGCGCCCGAACCACTATTTTGCTAATTCTTGTCACCTCAATGGGAATATGCAGCAATATTAGCTTCTATAGGGAGCAAATGGACCTCCCAAATCCAAAAATACAATCAGATTTCAAAAATTTAAATTTTGATTTTTCGAATTTTTGCCGCCGACTGTGACCTTGCCGACTTCCGGCGCTCCCAACGCGCCATTTTTAGAGCTAGGGAAACGAAATACATACCAAACGATAGAGAATTGATCAAGGAACACGATAATGAAGGTTTCAAGTCGATATCTCCTACCGTTTTGCCGCAATCGCCGCCGAAAGTTGAAAAAAGTCTATTTTTCCGAAAATTTGACCTCTGACCGGTCAAAAGTAGGTCAAATGTTGACCTAGGACCAAAAAATATACCACCAATCGCGAGATCTCGGCGAGAGCAATCCGTTGGTCTTTTCCGCTAAGCTCTACGACGCTCCGTTTTCAAACGCCAAGGGGGGGGTCGCACCAACCCCCCCCCTGCATGGGCGAAGGTGGCAGATCGCCGTTTACGGGCGAGGGTTAACTCGAATCTTTCTATTCTGCACTGTTACATTCAGTATCAAAACACATTTTTTCTCTCTCTACCCTTTGTCTCTTTCTCTTTCTCCCTCTCTTTACCCCTCTCTTTCTCCCTCTCCTTCATTCTCTTCTCATTCCCTCCTTCCCCCCTCTCTCTCTCTCCCTCTCTCCCTCCCTCTCTCCCTCCCTCTCACCATGGTGGCTGCCCGCGGCGCGCCGAAGCTGTTGATGAAGATCTCCACATGAACGTCGGTCGGTACGCCGGCTGGGGACGGACAGAGACAGGTCAGCGGTGCCGAGGTGTTCGACAGGCTGGCACCGTCGCGGCGGGGGCGGGTGACAGCACCTGACACCTAGGACGCCGGCGGTGACCCGGTGTCAGGCAGGGGCGCGGTTGGCGCCGCCCCAGACGGTCCATTACCCCTGACCGTGGACGGGGGCGCTGATCGGGTCGGTGGAGGGGGACACTGCTCTTTGATCTGCCGGCGGCGCCCCGCCAAGATACATGGACCGGTCGGAATGGAGGTCGGATTACGAGGGATCGGCCGGATCCCAACTCCATCACTGGGGGCTCTACTGGGTGCAGACTAGAGATGTCAATCGGATACCAACTTTTTGCTATACCGATACCAAACCGATACCAACTTGGTATTTGGTATTTCAATCCTAATGTGTTTGGTATTTTGTTGGTATCATGAATCCTCACTAATGTATAAGAGGCGAAGAAATCGGTAAAAAGTTGGTATTTCTCTCATATTCCCAAGTTGGTTTGGTTTCGGTATTTCCCCATGATTTTGGTTGGTATTTGGTTTGGTATCGGTATTCCGATTTTCTGTAATTGACATCACTAGTGCAGACACAGCGTTTTGGACGGAGCCCGAGCCGATCGGACGAATGGATGGTCATCTAGAGAAACTGCCTTGTTTGTCTTTAGCCGAATTGAATGCGTGTCTCATCTCTGAGAAATCTTTGCACCATTAAGGTTGGTGAAAGCCTATTCAATCTTAACCACAAACTTCCCGAAAAACACTTGTTTTGAATGCTTTATCAGGAGTTTGCCAGTATGGTGACACATATATCCGGTATACACGGACTGGATCTCCGCCGGCCGGTGGAAGGATTGTATCAGTGGATCTGAGAGCCGTCAGCCGGCGCTGCAGGCCAATATCGGACAGGGTTCGGCAGTGGGCGAGGTCAGCTCAGCAGACAGTTGACACCGAGTTGCCTGACGGAGCGCCAGGCGGCGGCGCCAACCGATACACGGCCGACCCCGCTGCCGTCCGTCAGGGGACAGATCCAGCTCAGGGTGAACTCACTCTCTGACTAACTCATCCCGCTGATGACGTGTGCGGGCTGCACAGAAATAAAGGTGACGATGCAAAGGACATAGACAGGACAGGCCTAGCTACAAAAGTGCGATAAATGGGACATGCAAAGATTTGACAGATATGAGAGCGGTTATCTGGACGACACCATGCGTGTAGTCGCAAAACTTGTCACATGACAAGGGATAGCCTTTAAATGAAAGTTTTTTTTTATAGGACTACTTTATGTGTGCATAACTAATGCACATTAGATATTGTTTTTTATTTTTGCATTTCATTTCAAATCCAAGACCACAATACGTAAGCAGATCCTAACGGAGTTTATCAATCGGTAGAATGCTTACTTTTGTTAAAGGTGGGCCATTGATTCGCATCATAGGCAGTATCCAGTATCTTCTTCTCTATAACATCTAGCGTGAAATACCGCTCAGGGCTGAAAACGAGCAGACATGCAAATAATCAAAATGCAAGGCAGACAACAACAGCTAACGTTCATAAACAACTTTATGAAATTGAAAATCTTGGAAACATTAGAAATAGCTTCAAATATAAGTATTGTCTTGTCATGTTACTGAGTACATAAGTAATACGTATGCTACCGTAAGCATTCAACATGTAGAGACAACCTTCACGAACGCTTCAGAGGACAGTTTATTCAAGAGATTAATGTTAGCGCCAATGCGGGAGTCCAATTAGTTATCGCGCCAAAACGTCAAAGACATGTATCGATAACCAGCCTCGTAAAGATATCAATGCATGCCAAAAGGTATTCACATCCTGGGAGCCTATAGCAGCCAATGGAGAAATAAGACAGACAAAAATGAAATTAAGACATCGTTGGCCGATATCTTTATGGTGGGACCACCCTAAAACTTTGCAAGACAACTGCAGTATGCGACAGAACCATATGGAATTTAGTCGGTGTAGCTAAGAATGCATTTAAGGTCTACGGAATAAATCGTACGCATGTGCACTATGTATAACATGTATGCATGGATGTAAGTACATATGTATGTATATTTACTTTCATGAGCGATCTACACATTGCGCGGCGATTGCTGCTCTGATTCTGAGTCAGGTATTTTGCATGCTGTATCCACTATTTTAAGTTGTGTGCATGTCTAGCAATATCCGTTGCCCGTTTGGTTTCACAGTGATATATGCCAATACTTTTGCAAATTTCCCTTGAAATAAGCTTTGTCCACTGAAAACATCTCTAAAATCTATAAAAAACATTGTCCTCAACCAAATCTTTAAAAGTCGTATGCCACAGAATCAATTACGTTGCAATTCCACGAAGTCATACAATCACTAGGTGTCACTGGTAGCTGGCCGCTTAGGTATTGCAGAGTTTTTGACACATTAAAAACTCATCTTGAAATAAGGCCGTCTTTTTAGCACATTCAGGCAAGGCACGTTGTAAGGACGTGTGTTTATAGCGCATCGGTCAGCGGGGCAGCACACTGAAGAGGCCGCGGGATGATGCGAACCTGGTGGCCCCGGCGCCCCCGGCCTCGCCGTCCGCTGCTGACGCCGCACACAGCAGTCTGCGCTCACCACCGCTGGAACACGAGGTCACAGCGGGAAGGCGTCACAGAGGCGGCCAGAACACAGCCCAGGGCGCTCTTCGACCTCGACATGCCGCGCAACAGAAAAATAACGCAAACAATCGGCCTACTTAATTCGAAACGAAAATCCCAAACAAAAAGAAGCCAAAGCCATTTCAAGCCAAAGTATATTGATACGAGAAAATCATTCGAGGGGGTACCTGAATAACTCCAATGCAAAGAAAGCAAGCTACCTTCAACAGAAGATATTGGCTATCTTCTAAAAGCTCATCATCTATGTTTTGCGACTAAAAAAAAAACATGACCAAGCCTTATGCTGAAATGAGAAATATCAGGCTCCACTAGTGGCACTTGCCAGCTGATATAAAACATATGCAAGTCAGCAAACAGGCAACATTCAAGGTTACACCAAGTTAGGCCCAAAAAGGGCAATGAGAGAAGTGTTCCATCGCATATATGTACCAACTGAGCGTCAGCACACTCGCACACTCCGAATACCCAGACCGCACAGCCCATGGCTTTCGGCGATCAACTGATATTGATTCAAATGGTGTTGGCTCAGCTGATATTGGTTCAGCTGATGTGATTGTCAGTGGTAAGAAATTTACGGCGCAAAAATATCGATCAATGCCATCGTCTTTTCCGGCGCGTCGCCATCCACCACATGGATGGATTGTATGATTTAACTTATTTATCCCTCGAACGAAAATTATTCTGCTTGACTGCAGTTTCAAGTCGAATAGCTTTCAGTAGGTATCTCTAACAGCTCACTCAAAGAGGTTCGTTTAGAGCATGCTCCCCTAATCGCTCGTCTCGGAGTGCGGATCCATTAGGCGGTGCCAGTTCTGCCAGGAGAGGTCCGGTGACCTGCCGGGCCGTCCTCAGGGGGGCAGTGCCCGGTGAGAGGCCCATTGTGACGTCATCGAACGTCTGAAGTGACTGAGGACCGAGCGGCGGTACCGGCCGAATGCGGGTCAGGAGATGGTTACCTCTCGGTGGGTAGCTATGGCAACGGGACGGAGCCCTGCTGATGGTCAAAGAGGTCCCTGCCAGCAGGCTACCGACGGAGACAGATCACCCTGGCTCAAACCCGAACCAAAATGCACTAGGAAGGCTGCAACGCAGGGTATATCGTCGATATGGCTTTTGCAAAAATCAAGGCACAGTACATAGTTATGTACTTGGCGACCGATGACTTTGGCTTGTGTTCCTAAACATGTTGGTCTCCTACGTAAGCAATGCCAATATGCAACGTTTTGATACCGTTATAGGGTATGGCATTTGTGCTTCAAGCAATATCTTCTAAAGTTAAGTAATCAATCTGACGATTGGTTTTAACATAACATAACATGTATTCCATGTAACAGCAGGCCACTTGGGCCCAACGAGGTTACAGGTAGATGAACAAACACTGTATGTAAAACACGGTACAATTACACCATTTCATCGAACACTAGCCCACGCTGTTTATGATACAAGTCTAACTCATTTTTAAAATTACTTAAGGAGGAACTATTGATAACTCTAGGAGGTAAACCGTTCCAAGCTTCTATGACCCTACTGGTAAAAAAGGACTGTCTTAACTTGGTTCTGGAAAATTTCTTTACTAGTTTGCACCCATTTCCTCTCGTGGAATTTGTATTGAGTGTAAACATCTTCCCAAAATCTAACTTATCAATCCCTTTGTATATTTTAAAAAGTTCAATCAAATCCCCTCTTATCCTGCGGTAATGAAGTGAAAACATATTTAAGGAAGCCAGGCGTTCTCTGTAGCTCATTTCACCCAGCCCACGAACCATCTTTGTTGCCCTCCTCTGCACACGCTCCAAAAGTTTTATATCCTTTTTTAGAGACGAGTGGCATGCTTGTGCACAGTATTCAAGATGAGGCCGAACTAATGAACAATAGAGTCTTTTCATTACTTCTTTACTTTTATATGATACATTTTTATTTATAACCCCCAACATTTTTAAAGCCTTTTTTCGAGCTTGCACATAATGGCCACTGAACTTCAGATCATTTGTCACCAAAACACCCAGGTCCTTTTCTTCCCTCACAGTTGCCAACTTAGTTCCATTCAAATAATATGTATCGTTACTTTTTACTCCCAGATGAAGAACTTTGCATTTATCAGCATTAAATTCCATCTGCCATTCCTTGCTCCATTTTAAAAGAGCATCTAAGTCTGCCTGTAGTGCTCTTCTATCGTCATCTGAAGTAATATTTTTAGCTATCTTGATATCATCCGCGAATTTCCATATGTTACTTGTTAAGTCAGAGTCTATAAGATCTACAAAAATAATGAAAAGCAATGGTGCTAAAACAGTTCCCTGAGGCACACCACTCTTGACAGCTTTCCAGTCAGCTTGATGGCCATTTAGAATGACTCGCTGCCTGCGACCTACTAGCCAGGCCCCTATCCATTTGAGAAGAGGACCGTCTAAACCATGACGCTCTAATGTGATCAAGAGTCTTTTGTGTGGAACTTTATCGAATGCCTTGCTGAAGTCTAAATAAACTACTGATACACTGTTACTCCTGTCCAAAAGGTCTGTCGAATATTCAAGGAAATCTAATAAGTTTGTCAAACAGGAGCGTCCACTACAAAAACCATGTTGAGATGGAAGTAAAATCTCGTGTTCCTCAAAATGAGCAACTATTTGACGTTTTATGATTCTTTCTAGCACTTTACACACGACCGAACTTAAACTTACTGGTCTATAATTGCTCACTACAGTTTTGTTTCCACCTTTGAAGATTGGAATGACATTCGCACACTTCCAATCATCAGGAATTTCACCTGATTCTAATGACTCTTTAAAGATAATGTAAAGTGGAACAGATAATTCTCTTGCTCCTTCTTTTAAGACCCTAGTGCTAATATTATCTGGACCACTTGTCTTATTTGCTTTAAGATTACACAAAGCTTTAGTTATGTCATCCTCAGACAGGTAAATAGTTGTAAGTTTAGGGTGTGTTGTCGATTCAGGTACATTTATAGGAAACTGCCTGAGGCACTCAGCAGTAAAAACGCTCGAAAACTGGTCATTGAATATTTTAACCTTGTCGGCATCGTCATGGTAAACCTGATGCTGACTTTCTATTGGTCCAATCCTTGAATCATGTTTATTAAATTTATAAAAACCGAAGAACTTTTTCAAATCACCTCCACACTCATTGGCTAGATTTATCTCTGATGCTCTTTTTGCTTTTCTTATACTCCTTTTAAGTCTCCTTCTGGCTGAAATATAACTAGCCTTATTTTCTTGTGATGGGTTGGTTTTCATTTTGCGAAACGCACCCTTCTTTTCACTGAAATGTTGTCGTACCAGGCTATTAAACCAAATAGGTGTAGCGGACTTCCCTCCACGCTGCTTTTCATAGGAATAAACTGCTTTTGAGCCTCAGTGAGTGTTTTCTTGAAAAACTCCCACATTCCGTGAACATTTCTGCCTTCTAACATAGTTCTCCATTTAATGGTTTGAAAGAATGCCCTGATTCCATCATAATCTCCTCTGGCAAAATTGGGCATGATCGGTAATGTAACCTTTCTTTTCTGTACTTGACCCTGTATGCTGAATCTGATAAGCACATGATCACTATTTCCAATGCTTTCGCCTGAATTCACGTCTCTGATAAGGTTTTCGCCGTTAGTCAAAATTAGGTCAAGTATTTCATTATTTCTAGTTGGCTGGACAACATGCTGTGTCAAAAAAAGCTCTTCAAAATTTTCCCTGAAAAGCCTCGATTCCCAGTTTGCATTTGTACTCATAAGTTTTGGCAAATTAAAATCTCCTATAATGATTGTCCTTTGACTTATTCCGCTCTCTATCTCCTTTATCATAGCTAAATCTGTATCCTTCGATTGATTAGGGGGTCTGTAGAATGCACCTAATCTGATTTTATTTGTTGAAGCATCATCCACGGAAATGTCTATCCAGAGCGCCTCAATATTAGTATTTTTAACAAAACGGTCTATTTCAATAGCCTTAAGATTCCTCTTCACATATATAAGAATTCCGCCTCCTACCTTCGCTGTTCTTTGGTAGGAGAACAGATTATAATTGTCTGCCTCATAATCTTTGATGCGATCCCCCAACAACCCTTCACTAACCCACGATTCGGTCAAAATCACTAAGTCAGGCTTTTCAGAATCCATGTAAAGTTGCAGCTCTCCAAATTTATTTCTTATACTCCTAGCGTTTGTGTACAAACATTTTAGAGACGTGTCAATGGCCTTTGCTTTTTTGTCTTCCTCACCTTTAAACCTCTTTAGTTTCCCTGTTGTACCCTCTTTTCGTAGAGTTCGCTCAAAAGGAGCACGCCCTTTCTATTTAAGTGATAGCCATCTATCGAATACAGTTCTTGTTTGTCCCAGAAATCATCCCAACAGTCGATAAACCCTATGTTGTTCTCCTTGCACAATTTTTTAACCCTTGTATTAATCCCAATGGCTCTAGATGACCACTCTTTTCCAGCACCAAGTTTGGGGAGAATGCTAGTTATTATGCCTTTTCTGCCTGATTTAACCATTTCCGTAATCACCATCCTATAGGTATCAATAAGTTCCTCCGAAAGGGTGCTACCGACGTCGTTAACTCCACCGTGCAAAATAACGACACAGTTTGGTCCACTACCCCGCATTACTTCAGGGAGCCTGTCCGATAAGTCTTTAAGCTTCGCGCCCGGCAGGCACACCCTCATGCGTTTGTCTCGGCTACGTTCACAAAAGGCTCTGTCCATGAATTTAACCCTGGAGTCTCCATAAACCATAACCTCTGGTTCCTCCGTTTCACTTCTACCTTCTCCTTTGGACCTAACATTGGAGACATTCAGATCCTTTCCGGTGCATTCCCGGCCTGGTCTCAAACATTTATCAGTGGTAGCACCTTCAGACCCTACCCATGCTTCACGATCTACTTGGTTGTCAGCAGGCAACGATTCACCTGGTGACTCATCGTTCCCATTTGCGCATTCTGTTACCGTCGACATGT